GAAATAGAATCCTGACATTTGGGAGTTGTAGTTGCTGGGATTTACAGTTCACCTACAATCATAGTGCATTCTGAGCCCCACCAAAGATAGAATTGGGCCAAACCTCCCACACAGAACCCTCATGTGGACTACAGCAATGTGTGGTAGGGGACAGCTAGTATTTACATAAAACTGTAATTTAAGGTAAGACTGTCCATGTTGTAGTAGAGTCTGTTGGCAACTCTGCAACTGGTAGGAGGCAGAGGCGGCCCTAAGTAATTTTCAACGGTAAGCAAACAGTATTTTGGCGCCCCCCCCCCCCCCAACCAATCATTGATATATATTTTCTATTCATCATGGGAGTTCTGTGTGCCATATTTGGTTCAATTCCATCATTGGTGGAGTTCAGAATGCTCTTTGATTTTAGGTGAACTATACATCCCAGTAACTACAACTCGCATATGTCAAGGTCTATTTTCCTCCAAGAGCACCTCAAGAGCGCCCCTGGGCAAAATCAACTATACTGCAAATACTTACTTTGTGTAATGGGTTGAGCCGCCCCTGGTAGTAGGAGTGTCAGAGGAGGGAAAAGAGGTATTCAGGAACTAGATGAGGAACAGCAGAGGAGGAGGATCTGGGAGATGCTTACGTTACCCACTGATGAAGAATCCTTCGAGGGGTTTTCCGAAAGTGAAATGAGTGGGGAGGAGGAAGGAGATTCAGTAGATGTGAATCGGGGAACTAAGAGGATTACTCGAGAGCAAGAGTCAGACGAAGAGCGTCAGAGAAAGAAAATCGGGGACATACTTACTGCTCCCACGGAAGAAGAGGATTTCATGGGTTTTTCTGGGAATGATGGGTGTGGGAGTGATGGGGATGAGGAGGAAGCACTAGATTGGACCAAGGTACAAAAGGTTCAGAATGTGTGTACTCAACCAGCGTCCAGTGACACATTTGCGGGGTTTTCTGGTGGTGGGGATTGGCAATCGGGTGATACTGTGGGATCCTGGGGAGACCTAAGTCTTGACAAGAGGTGGAAGAGTTGGAGGGATGGGCGTTGGCGCTCAGCTGTGGAAGCTAAACCAGCTGAGAGTGATGAGGACAAGGTGGAGGGCAGCTCCATCCCGACAAGAGTTCTTTGTCCCACCCTGGTCATTCCACAGATATATAAACCCTTTTTCCTAGTTCCAACAGACCTCACTACCTCTGAGGATGCTTGCCATAGATGCAGGCGAAACATCAGGAGAAAATGCCTCTAGAACATGGTCATATAGCCCCCCCCCCCCAAAAAAAAAAAACCCTACAACAACTATTATTATTTCTAACACTTCTACCCTGCCTTTCTCAACCCTCAAAGGGGGACTCAGAGCGGCTTACGCTAGCAGCAAGTCAATTGTTGTTGTTGTTCATTCGTCTCCGACTCTTCGTGACCTCATGGACCACCCCACACCAGAGCAAGTCAATACCAAAACATAAAAAACAGATACAATAAATATAACAGAGTTTAAACAGTTTTGTTGTTGTTTATTCGTTCAGTTGCTTCCGACTCTTCGTGACTTCCTGGACCAGCCCACGCCAGACCTCTCTGTTGGCCATCACCACCCCCAGCTCCTTCAAGGTCAATCCAGTCACTTCAAGGATGCCATCCATCCATCTTGCCCTTGGTCGGCCCCTCTTCCTTTTGCCTTCCATTTTCCCCAACATCATTGCCTTCTCTAAGCTTTCCTTTCTTCTCATGATGTGGCCAAAGTACTTCATCTTGGCCTCTACTATCCTTCCCTCCAATGAACAGCCGGGCTTCATTTTATGGCAGTGTGGACTAATATAATATAATTACAACACCGCCTGAGCTCTGCGAGTGCAGCATTTTCCTGAATGAAGCAGAGAGTTTTTGAGGACTGGGACATCCATAGGGATACCAAGGTGCTTGTCTTATAAAGCTATTGTCCTCCCAACCCTGCTATATGCCTGCAAACATGGACTGTCTACAGACATCACACACAACTCCTGAACGATTCCATCAGCGCTGCTTCCGGAAAATCCTGCAAATCTCTTGGGAAGACAAGCGGACAAACGTCAGCGTGCTGGAAGAAGCAAAGACCACCAGCATTGAAGCTATGGTCCTCCGCCATCAACTCTGCTTGACCGGCCAAGTTGTCCTGGAGGAGACGTGGTTTTAAAAAGGGATTTTTCAGATATTTCCCCAATGCCCATATGTCATGATTTACTGCCATATTGGCCTATTTCTGCAGTAGGCCTATGTTCACAGAAAATGCTGATTGTTTGAGAAATCAGTGCTCCAAAGAAGAAGTTACTATTCAAGGATAACAACATATCCGGACAAAACCAGCTAGCTGTTGGCTAGTTAGAACCCCCAAGTTTCCCATTCGCTCTGAAGCCATGTTTACAACAGACTAACGGATAAGATACAGTCATGGTCAGAGAACAATGGACTATAGTCATGTTATAGTTGTGCCATTGTTAGGATCCCACGTGTGCTATAATGTCAATCAAAATCATAAACAACTAATGAACAACTGCATAACTAACTTAGACCAATGAAATGATTTGTCTTTGGAAACCAATGAAAATGTATATTCCATTTACTATAAATGCTCTGCAGCCCCATTGGGGGTTGCGACAAACCCTTTGATTGCATGCCTGTATGCTTGTTTGTCGTTATTGCTATAGCCACGCAATAATAAATAGTTTTTTGCAGTTTAAAGGATTCAACTTTCGTAGTGTCCATCCTTGCCCTCCCTATTGGAAAGGGGGCTTCTGCCTTTTGGGAAATATTTTGGTTTCGTTGCCCCTACAGTCCGAATGCCCGAGCACCATCTCCCAAAGCAGCTGCTCTACTCCGAACTCAAGAACGGAAAACGCAATGTTGGTGGGCAAGAAAAGAGATTGAAAGATGGGCTCAAAGCCAACCTTAAAAACTCTGGCATAGACACTGAGAACTGGGAAGCCTGGTCCTTGAGTGCTCCAGTTGGAGGTCAGCTGTGACCAGCAGTGCTGCAGAATTTGAAGAGGCACGAATGGAACGCGAAAGGGAGAAATGTGCCAAGAGGAAGGTGCGTCGAGCCAACTTCGATCGGGATCGCCTCCCACCTGGAAACCAATGCCCTCACTGTGGGAGAAGATGCAGGTCAAGAATAGGGTTCCACAGCCACCTACAAACCCACCCCCAGGACACCGAACTTGGAGGACCATCATCCTCGGACTACGAAGGATCGCCTAAGTAAGGACTAATAATCCAGTTCAAAGCAGATCATCTGGATTCAGAAACTGGGTGATATACAGCAGTTGAATATAAATCCAGCCTGCGTTGAATGTAAAAAGCAGTTTGCTCCCAATTGGAGGGAGGAAGAGGTGGGATTGTGAACTCTTTTCCTTCCTTGGGGGGCTTTTGAGCAAAACTGGGCGCTGGCCATCTGTCGGGAGGGCTTTAGTTGTGTCAGAAAGGGGTTGGACTGGATGGCCTTTAGAAGTCCCTCCCAACTCGAAGGCTAAGGGATCCTGAACTCTTTTCCTTCCCTGGGGGCTTTTGAGCAAAGACTGGATGCTGGCCATCTGTCGGGAGGGCTTTAGTTGTGTCAGAAAGGGGTTGGACTGGATGGCCTTTAGAAGTCCCTCCCAACTCGAAGGCTAAGGGATCTTGAACTCTTTTCCTTCCCTGGGGGCTTTTGAGCAAAGGCTTGATGCTGGCCATCTGTCGGGAGGGCTTTAGTTGTGTCAGAAAGGGGTTGGACTGGATGGCCTTTAGAAGTCCCTCCCAATTCGAAGGCTAAGAGATCCTGAACTCTTTTCCTTCCCTGGGGGCTTTTGAGCAAAGGCTTGACGCTGGCCATCTGTCGGGAGGGCTTTAGTTGTGTCAGAAAGGGGTTGGACTGGATGGCCTTTAGAAGTCCCTCCCAATTCGAAGGCTAAGAGATCCTGAACTCTTTTCCTTCCCTGGGGGCTTTTGAGCAAAGGCTTGACGCTGGCCATCTGTCGGGAGGGCTTTAGTTGTGTCAGAAAGGGGTTGGACTGGATGGCCTTTAGAAGTCCCTCCCAACTCGAAAGCTAAGGGATCCTGAACTCTTTTCCTTCCCTGGGGGCTTTTGAGCAAAGACTGGATGCTGGCCATCTGTCGGGAGGGCTTTAGTTGTGTCAGAAAGGGGTTGGACTGGATGGCCTTTAGAAGTCCCTCCCAACTCGAAGGCTAAGGGATCCTGAACTCTTTTCCTTCCCTGGGGGCTTTTGAGCAAAGGCTGGATGCTGGCCATCTGTCGGGAGGGCTTTAGTTGTGTCAGAAAGGGGTTGGACTGGATGGCCTTTAGAAGTCCCTCCCAACTCGAAGGCTAAGGGATCCTGAACTCTTTTCCTTCCCTGGGGGCTTTTGAGCAAAGACTGGATGCTGGCCATCTGTCGGGAGGGCTTTAGTTGTGTCAGAAAGGGGTTGGACTGGATGGCCTTTGGAAGTCCCTCCCAACTCGAAAGCTAAGGGATCCTGAACTCTTTTCCTTCCCTGGGGGCTTTTGAGCAAAGACTGGATGCTGGCCATCTGTCGGGAGGGCTTTAGTTGTGTCAGAAAGGGGTTGGACTGGATGGCCTTTAGAAGTCCCTCCCAACTCGAAGGCTAAGGGATCCTGAACTCTTTTCCTTCCCTGGGGGCTTTTGAGCAAAGACTGGATGCTGGCCATCTGTCGGGAGGGCTTTAGTTGTGTCAGAAAGGGGTTGGACTGGATGGCCTTTGGAAGTCCCTCCCAACTCGAAAGCTAAGGGATCCTGAACTCTTTTCCTTCCCTGGGGGCTTAGCAAAGACTGGATGCTGGCCATCTGTCGGGAGGGCTTTAGTTGTATCAGAAAGGGGTTGGACTGGATGGCCTTTGGAAGTCCCTCCCAACTCGAAGGCTAAGGGAACCTCTGCAGCTCTTGCTTTTGGGACAGGCCAGAAGGAGAAGAAGGGAAAGCCTGGCCTGGACTCCTAAGGAGAGAGGAAGGGAGGGAAGGGGCGGGGCTTAAACGTCAGAACGTTCTAAGCCGCGGCGGCGAAGGCTGATGCCGTCACAGAGGCGACAACCCGGAAGTGGCGGCCACAGGGCGGGCAGGAGCTGCAGGCGGAGCAGGTGGTGAGTGAGTGAGAGAGTGGAGGCGGCTGCTCTTTCTCTTCCTCTTCTTCCCTCCTTGCCCTCCTCTCTCCCAGGGAAAGGGCTCCTCTTCCTTGCCTTTCCCTTTCATTCCTCTCCCGCTTTCCTTTAGGTTCAGAGTTCTCGCGAAGGAATGCCCCTCCACACCTCTTGAAACCGCCATGGGCTCGATGGAATGGATTCCCAGGAACTGTAGTTTGGCGAGGACTCAACAGACCGTGGTCCTTGCAAAACTACAACTCCCAAGACCCCATAGCATTGGGACGCGATGGTTGAAGTGACTCAGTGTTAAGGGATCCTGGGAGTTGCAGTTTGGCCCCTCCCTAAACTACAAACCCTCTCCCTAAACTACAGCCCCCTCCCTAAACTACGGCCCCCTCCCTAAACTACGGCCCCCCTCCCTAAACTAACCCCCTCCCTAAGTACAGCCCCCTCCCTAAACTACAAAGCCTCTCCCTAAACTACAGACCCCCCTCCCTAAACTACAACTCCCCTCCCTAAACAACAAACCCTCTCCCTAAACTACAGCCTCCTCCCTAAACTACAGCCCCCTCCCTAAACTAAACCCTCTCCCTAAACTACAGCCCCCCTCCCTAAACAACAAACCCCCTCCCTAAACTACAACCCCCCTCCCTAAACAACAAACCCTCTCCCTAAACTACAGCCCCCTCCCTAAACTACAGCCCCCTTCCTAAACTGAAAAAACTCTCCTTAAACTACAGCCCCCCTCCCTAAACAACAAACCCGCCTCCCTAAACTACAACCCCCCTCCCTAAACAACAAACCCTCTCCCTAAACTACAGCCCCCTCCCTAAACTACAGCCCCCTTCCTAAACTGAAAAAACTCTCCTTTACAGCCCTGCTCCCTAAACAACAAAGTCTCTCCCTAAACTACAGCCCCCCCAAACAACAAAGCCTCTCCCTAAACTACAGCCCCCCTCCCTAAACAACAAACCCTCTCCCTAAACTACAACCCCCCTCCCCAAACTACAAACCCTCTCCCTAAACTACAGCCCCCTCCCTAAACTACAACCCTCAGAATGTCACAGCTGTTTAAAGGCCCTTCCCTAAACTACAACCCCCCTCCCTAAACAACAAAGCCTCTCCCTAAACTACAACCCCCCTCCCCAAACTACAAACCCTCTCCCTAAACTACAGCCCCCTCCCTAAACTACAAACCCTCTCCCTAAACTACAAACCCTCTCCCTAAACTATAACCCCCTCCCTAAACTACAACCCCCCTCCCTAAACTACACCCTCCCTAAACTACAAACCCTCTCCCTAAACTACAGCCCCCCTCCCTAAACAACAAACCCCAGAATCCTACAGGAGGCAGAAATTGGATTTAAAGTGGATCCATGCTCTAGTGTGATGATGTCCCTTGTAAAACTACAACTCCCAGGACTCTGTAGGACTATTTTATTTATTTATTTATCATGTCAGGAGCGAACCAAAACTGTTGCATTGCATTAAAAACAAACAAACAACCAAAACACAAAGTTTGCGAGTTTGGTAGTTTATTAAATGTCCTTTGACCAGTATCTGGCCTCTTGGAGTGCCTCTGGTGTTGCCGCAAGAAGGTCCTCCATTGTGCATGTGGCAGGGCTCAGGTTGCATTGCAGCAGGTGGTCAGTGTTTTGCTCTTCTCCACACTCGCATGTCGTGGATTCCACTTTGTAGCCCCATTTCTTGAGGTTGGCATCTGGTGGTGCCAGAGCGCAGTCTGTTCTGTGACTTCCAAGCCGCCCAGTCTTCTGTATGCCTAGGGAGGAGTCTCTCATTTGGTATCGGCCATTGATTGAGGTTCTGGGTTTGAGCCTGTCACTTTTGGACTCTCGCTTGCTGAGGTGTTCCAGCGAGTATCCCTGTAGATCTTAGAAAACTATTTCTTGATTTAAGTCGTTGACGTGCTGGCTGATACCCAAACGGGATGAGCTGAAGATGTCAATGCCTTGCTTCTTTCACTATTGGCTGCTGCTCCCCGGCGGATGTTAGGTGGTGCAATACCAGCTAAACAGTGCAATTTCTCCAGTGGTGTAGGGCGCAGACTCCCCGTGATAATGTGGCATGTCTCATTAAGAGCCACATCCACTGTTTTAGCGTGGTGAGATGTGTTCCACACTGGGCATGCATACTCAGCAGCAAAGTAGCATAGCGCACGGGCTACTTTGCGATATCAAACCTGGGGTTTGATCCCCAGGTTGTGCCAGTCAGTTTTCGTATGATATTGTTTCTAATGCCCACTTTTTGCTTGATATTCAGACAGTGCTTCTTGTTTGAGGTAACTCAGTCCTATGAGATCCTTGGAGTTGAAGTTTGGTGAGGCACCAGCACCCTTTGGCCGCGGAGGCAACTAGAGCTTGGATCCACTTCAAATTCAGTTTCCTGCAGAATTCTGGGATTTGTGGTATAATAACTTTATTTTTATACCCCGCCAACCATCTTACCTAGGGGACTCAGGGCAGCTTACAAGGGACAAGCCCAAAAAACAATTAAAACACACAAATAAAACACTTACCAGTTAAAAACATCAGATAAAAACAATGCGACAGAATTATACGCAGCGTAAGAGCAATATGGCTGAAAAGATTAAAAAAAAACATAGCTGGGGTACAAATTCAATGAGTGCGATACATTTTACAGGAGTTCAAGAAAAGTGCATCAGACCAGTAGATTGGGCGAGAAATGCTGTCATAAAATATGTTGAGATAGACTATATGAGGTCCAGGGCCTGACTGGCTGAGCAGTTTAAAGGCCCCTCCCTAAACTACAAACCCCAGAACTCTGCAGGAGGCAGAAACTGGATTTAAAGTGGATCCATGCTCTAGTGTGATGAGGTCCCTTGTAAAACTACAACTCCCAGGACTCCGTAGCACTGAGGTGCACTGGTTGAAATGACTCAAGGCGCTTCCACACAGCCCTATATCCCAAAATATCAAGGCAGAAAATCCCACATTGTTTGCTTTTTACTGGAATATATGGCAGTGTGGACTCATATAACCCAGTTCAAAGCAGATATTGTGGGATTTTATGCCTTGATATTCTGGGATTTATTTATTTATTTATTTACGATATTTCTAACCTGCCTTTCTCAGCCCGAAGGCGACTCAAGGCGGCTTACAGATTTGCAGCAATTGGATGCCACAGCAGTCATAAAATACAATTTAAAACATTTAGCACAATGTTATAAAAAACCAACATAGGGCTGCGTGGATGGGCCCTCAGTACTGTGGAATCCTGGCAGTTGCAGTTTGGTGAGGCACCAGCACTCTGGCTGAGGAGGTGAAAAACCTTACAAAACTACAACTCCTTCCCATGTTCCATAGCATTGAGCCCTGGCACCTCAAGTAATGCCAAGCTGTATTAATTCTACAGAGTGGATCCACCTGAAGTTCCGTTTTTTTTCTTTTATTGTGCGCCTGCCTTCCTATCTTCTCAGGGCCCTTCCACACAGCCATATAACCCATATGGCTCAGGACTATGTCAATTCTTGTTTTTATTGTATTTTAAAGTTGGTTGTATTGTTTTAATCTACTGCTGTAAACTGCTCCGAGCCAAATTGGGAGTGGTGGTATACAAGGCAAATAAATAAATATATCAAGGCAAGTAATCCCACAATATCTACTTTGAACTGGGTTATCTGAATCCACACTGCCATATATTTTCTGCCTTGATATTCTGGGTTATGAGGCTGTGTGGAAGGGCTTTAGCTTTCTTACTTTCTCTTTATTTTCTATTATTATTATTATTATTATTATTATTATTATTATTATTATTATTATTATTTATAAACACAACAAGATGAGTCCACAGCAGACAAGATCACTTTGCTGGCTGTTGTATTTGATCACATGTCGGACACGTCCCAAGCGTCTAGGACTGTGATGTATCGGTGAATAATGCGTGCAGATCCCACTAAGGTGGCCTTCTGCAGCTGGCAGATGGTAATTTTGTCAGCACCGATTATGTTTAAGTGCAGGCCAAGGTCTTTAGGCACTGCACCCAGTGTGCCGATCACCACTGGGACCACCTTGATTGGCTTGTGCCAGAGTCTTTGCAGTTCCATCTTTAAATCCTCGTATTGTATCATTATTATTATTATTATTAGTAGTAGTAGTAGTAGTAGTAGTAGTGTTTATTGCTATGTTTATTTTTTAGTCCAGAGAGAAACCCCTCATGTCTGTGGCCCCTTCCACATAGCTGTATAAAATCCACAATGAACTGGATTATATGGCAGTGTGGATTTAGATAACCCAGGGCCCTTCCACATTGCCATATAATCCCATCTATGTCTTTTTGGCGCAGTGGGTTAAAGTGCTGAGCTTCTGAGCTTGTTAACCAAAAGGTCGCAGGTTCAATTCCAGAGAGCGGCGTGAGCTTCCGCTGTCAGCCTCAGCTTCTGCCAACCTAGCAGTTCGAAAACATGCAGATGTGAGTAGATCAATAGGTACCGTTCTGGCGGAAAGGTAACGGCGCTCCATGCAGTCATGCCGGCCACATGACCTTGGAGGTGTCTATGGACAACGCCGGCTCTTCAGCTTAGAAATGGAGATGAGCACCAACCCCCAGAGTCAGACATGACTGGACTTAATGTCAGGGGACAACCTTTACCTATGTCTGTTTTGCATAATTCTGTTTTCACTGGATACCTGGGAGTATGTTGTTGTTGTTTATTTGTTCAGTCGCTTCCGACTCTTTGTGTACTCATGTACTCATGTGGCCACCCCCAGCTCCTTCAAGGGCAAGCCAGTCACTTCAAAGATACCATCCATCCATCTTGCCCTTGGTCCGCCCCTCTTCCTTTTCCCTTCCATTTACCCCAGCATCATTGTCTTCTCCAAGCTTTCCTGTCTTCTCATTATTTGGCCAAAGTATTTCAACCTAGCCCCTAATATCCTTCCCTCCAGTGAGCAGTCAGGCTTTATTTCCTGGAGTATGGACTGATTTGATCTTCTTGTTGTCCAAGGCATTCAAGGAGGTTAAAGAGTAGTATTTTCAAGAAAGCTTCCTAAATCGGATGTCCTGTACATGTACACTATTGGGCTACAAGTCTAAGAATCTTCACTAAGTGGTGATGCTGAAGATCAAATATATCTGGAGATCTTGGGGTGATGTAGCAGGGGGAGCTACTCAAACACTTTGTTGGCCTTTGGAATTCCTGTTTATCCACATTCTAGTTATGAGATCCCATCAGATGGTGCCAAGGTTTTATGATGGGTTAGGTCAATCTTTTATGCTCTGTTTGCCAGCTTATAAAGAATACCTCACTTGTTTGTTGATAGAATGCTGGGCAAGATGGAATTCATCTGACAGTAAGGAAATTTACTTATTGATCTCTATGTGTATCATGAATCAGAACACACTGTGGTATCATACAGAGTTTCATAATACACTGGGATGAATTGTTCTTTTATTGCTTTTGTGCCTCTCTCTGATTTCCTTTCTTCTTACTCTCTCCCAGGTTACACTCTCAGGGATGACTCAGTTGGGTGCCATAGCAGCTCTAGCTGCCAGCCTGGTGGCAGCTGCTCTTTTTTCTGCAATACACAAGATTGAAGAAGGGCATATTGGTGTTTATTACAGGTGCGTGCTTGTCTTTGGGGTGAGTTGCAGAATCTACCTGTCTGTTGTTTGGTTCCAGCAGTCTTCCAAATCAGATTCGAGGACACATTGTTGTTCTGTGACTTCAACTAGGCAGCATGGGGTCTTTTTGTAACAACACTCTTCTTTTAGAACAGCCTTCCTTGGGAAGTTTAGTCTGGTGCCATCCTTGGGGTCTTTTTAGTCCATCCAGGTCTTTTGAATTAATTGTGTAATCTGAACCAGTTCATTTTAAAGTCTGTTAGACTTTAATTTAAGACCATGCATTTTAAATTATAATTGCTGTGATTTTTAGTTTCATTTATTCTACTTTTGAACAATTTATTTATTTTAATTCTTTTTTTACAGTGTTTATATTCCGCCCTTCTCACCCCGCAGGAGACTCCGGGAGAATTACAATGTACTGTATAAACTCGAGTATAAGCCTAGTTTTTCAGCCCTTTTTTTAGGCTGAAAAAGTTCCCCTTGGCTTATACTCAAGTCAAGGTTATTTATTATTTTACTCTGTTATTATTATTATTCATTTCATTTATTATTTTATTCTATTTATTATGATTACATTTATCATTTTACTCTATTATTATACATTTATTATTTTACTGTATAATTGTTATTGCTACATTCATTATTTTACTCTGTTTGTTATTATTGTTATTACATTTGTTATGTTGCTCTCTTTATTATTATTGAAAGGATACGTAAGCACATTTACATTGAAAAAGGTAAATAATCATTTAATCAGAGTTGGACAGTCTTATTTTAAATTACCATTTTTGTAAATATTCAAAAATACATAACCTACTGATTTCTCAATTAATGTAATTTAATTGGCATCTATTTTTATTTTGCAATTTACCAGTAGCTGCTGCATTTCCCACCCTTGGCTTATACTCGAGTCAATCCGTTTTCTCAGTTTTTTGTGGTAAAATTAGGTGCCTTGGCTTATATTCGGGTCAGCTTATACTGGAGTATATACGGTACATATCCATGGCAAACATTCAATGCCATAGACACACAATGTATATAGACAGACACTCAGAGGCTATTTAAATTCCAGCTTCTGGCCACCAGGGGAGCTGTCGCTTCATCATCCATTTGTGACATTGATGAAGTACTTTCCTCATTCTTTGCATATTCCTGGAGATTTTTATGGCCTCGTAAATCAATTAAATTAGCCTCCCCACATAGTGGTACCTAAATTTTCTACTTGACAAATGCAACTGTCTTTCAGGCTGCAAAGGTTGACAACAAGCTACACAATTTTGGTTAGGAGCTCACTCCGACCCGGGCTGGCTTCGAACTCAAGACCTTTTGGTCAGTAGTGATCTTAATGCAGCTGACTCCCAGCCAACTGTGCCACAGTCCTGGTATTTTTTTTATAAAAAAACCCTCTAAAATCAGGACATTAAATAAAGAACAACATTCAAAAACAAGGGAAATCCAGAAAGGAAATAATCAGGACCAGCTAAAACCTCTCAACAAAGGATTTCCCCAGGCAGGAAGCAGCCAAGCTTTGAAGCTGCAAAGCCATTCATTGCTAATCAAGATGAGCAATTGCAAAATTCACACTTACCTCCAACAGACAAGAGTTCTTTCTCCCACCCTGGACATTCCACGATATATAAACCCTACTTGCCTAGTGACCAATAGACCTCACAACCTCTGAGGATGCCTGCTATAGATGTGGGTGAGACATCAGGAGAGAATGCTTCTGGAACATGGCTAGACAGCCTGGAAAACTCACAGTAACCCAATGATTCTGGCCATGAAAGCCTTCGACAACACATTATTCTGCTTTTGATCTTTAGGTTCTACATCACTATTATGGGATGGCATAAGAAGTGTCAAAAAAACAACATAGATTTTAAATCCTTTCCCAAATTTAAAGCAAACTCAATGAATATCCTGGAGATTGAGATAAAGAGACTAGGGCCTTCTAGATATGCTGTCGATAATGAAGAAGTTGAAGCTCATATGTTGCAATCTACGAGTGATTCAGAAACTCTAGCTTGGCATTTTTAATGTATCATGCTCCTATTATTCTGGATAAAATGCATGTTAAATTGATTTGAAAGTGCAGCTCATTTTCTTGTTGTTCTTTTCAAACCCGTACAGGGGAGGAGCTTTATTGACATCCACCAGTGGTCCTGGCTTCCACCTTATGCTTCCGTTCATTACCTCCTTTAAATCTGTTCAGGTACATCTCATATTTAACATGTGTAAAGGAATTTAACATGGAGTGTTTTAGTAGTCATACCCAAGAAGACTGAGATGATGTTCTCGCTATCATCTAGTCCAAATTCTTGTGCAGATTGAGTATTCCTTATCCAAAATGCTTGGATTTTTGGGATGGGGCACAAATCTAAGCACAAAATTATTTAATGTTAACTATATGCCTTATACACATAATTTGATGGGAAGCTCCAGTGGTGCAGTGGTTTAAAGTGCTGAGCTGCTGAGCTTGTTGACCGAAAGGTCACAGGTTCGAATCCAGGGAGTGGCGTGAGCTCCCGCTGTCAGCTCCAGCTTCTGCCAACCTAGCAGTTCTAAAACATGCAAATGTGAGTAGATCAATAGGTACTGCTCCAGCGGGAAGGTAACAACGCTCCATGCAGTCATGCCGGCCACATGACCTTGGAGTTGTCTACGGACAACACCGGCTCTTTGGCTTAGAAATGGAGATGAGCACCACACCCCAGAGTCGGACACGACTGGACTTCATGTCAGGGGGAAACCTTTACCGTACACATAGTTTGAAGGCAAATTTATACAATAGTTTAAAATAATTTTGTGCATTGAAAAAGATTTGTGTACATCGAACCATTAGAAAACAAAGGTGTCCCTATCTCACCGAACCATGTGGATAATTTTGGAATATTTTTGAGTTTTACTGTTGTATTTGTATGCTGTTGTTTTGTTGGTGGCCTTGGCCTTTGTAAGCCACATCGAGTCCTTCGGGAGATTTTGCGGGGTATAAATAAAGTTAATAATAATAATAATATTTTGGACCTTATTGCAAATCAAGGAGTTCCTTCCTGCTTGAGCAGAAGGAAAGAAGCACATGAGGCCAAGGCATGATTGTTGCTATTGCCAGTTTTAGAATGTCCTAATGTTATCTATTGTATGAAATTTTATCTATTGTAGTCTGAGACTTGTATCCAATTTTTCTTCAGTTGTGCATATTTTGTCTGACAATACAGGTGCCAGAATACAACTGTCCTTTACCTTGCCCTATATTTATTTATTTTTATGCCACTTTTCTCCCATGGATGGGAGTTAAAGCAGTGAATAAATTTAAATCAACAGAAATTAAATAACTGATAAACAGATAACGCAGTTACATAAGCCATAGACAACAAAGTTAATAAATACAACATATTCTGCTAAAATTCCCTGGGCCTCAGGCCATTGAGGTCATCCATAAGAAATTATATTTAAAATCCTAAATGTTTGTATGCTTTGGCCGTGTATCTGTTAAAAGTTTATCTCTGAAGCCACACAGTCTTTCCTTTCTCTTATCTGTATAACAGGCCATGTCTAATCCAGTTGCCAAACAAGATCTTCTGCTTTTTTTCACAAGGAGGCTATGCTCCATTAAACATACCGAACAAGTTTCACTTGTGGGGGATTCTTTGAGCAACCTCTGAAAAGGAATGGATAGGGATTAATTTCCTAATTCTGATAAGTGCCAGAAAAGTAGGCAAAGACTGACTGTGAGAAAGAGATCGGGTTTTGCCACGAAACATAGTAGAAACTTTGTTTATTCTGACCAGTCCTGCTTTTTACCAAATCCTTTGCTTTCTCTTTCCCAGACGACGTTACAAACAGACGAAGTAAAAAATGTTCCATGTGGCACAAGGTGAGTGGTGGCTCTTACCATAGACTGAAAGTAGTATGCAATTTCCAACAGTGTGCACAAGACATTTTATTAACCACTAGCTGTACCCGCCACACGTTGCTGTGGCCAGACTTCCCTTCCTCTTTCTCTACTTCCTTCCTTCCTTCCTTCCTTCCTTCCTTCCTTCCTTCCTTCCTTCCTCTTTCTTCACTCCCTTCTTCCTTCCTTCCTTCCTTCCTTCCTTCCTTCCTTTCTTCTTCCTTCCTTCCCCCCCTCCCTCCCTTTTAGTCTTTCCTTCTCTCCTTCCTTCCTTCTCTTCCTCTTCCCTTCCTTCCCCTCTTTTCTTTCCCTTCTCTTTCTCCCCATTCTTCCTTCTCTACCTATTCTTGGACTGCAACTCCCAGCAGTCCTCCTGGTTTATCTATCTATCTATCTATCTATCTATCTATCTATCTATCTATCTATCTATCTATCTATCTATCTATCTGGAGGATTGATGGGAGTTGCAGTCCAGGAATAGGAAATTGGAAATATGCAGGGACTGTGATGCTCTCAAAGAAATCCAAGCAGAGGAAAGCTTGCATCTTGGAAGCAGTGCTTTTGGATCATCTTCCTCTCCTAAAGGGCCTGGTATAGGAGATGCTGGGAGCTGTAGTCGGAAGAGAGTGTGGATATGCTATTGTGTGTTTTGTTTGCTGGGGAGTTGTTTGCGCATGCGCTGTAGCGTCTTTTTGCTTTTTTGGCTTTTTAAATCCCCTACTGTGTTTTCAGTGTTTTTATGTGTGATGGTCACTTGTTGGCCTGATAGGTGTATTGTGTCCAAATTTGGTGTCAATTTGTCCAGTGGTTTTTGAGTTATGTTAATCCCACAAACAAACAGTACATTTTCATTTATATAGATTTTATTGATAGTTTCAAACTTTCCTGAGTAATTTTTGCAACACAGCATAACAGAGGCTTACTTTATACATTCTCATGGATCAGTGATTACCAATCTCTGGGTAACCTGGCTGGGATTTCTGGGTGCTGAAGTCCAAAGCAACTGGTGGGGCAAAGGTTGGGAACCACTGTCATGGATTATTTGATTGCACTGTTTGAAAGATACTGTGAAATGCCTTGTAGCTACCACTAGATGGCATTTCTCCCTCTTATTCATTCATAAAACTTCATTTTGTGAGTAAACCTTCCTTTGACTGCCTGTTGCCTGACTTAATCTGAGTACCCAGCAAAATAGGCGCGCAATTTGCTCAAAGAAATGTTTAGCTGTAGTTCTGAACACAAATTTTGATGAAGAGTTATTCTGCATGCGCATACCAACATTTCTTGAGTATCACAGTACAAGCATTCCCTGAGTTAGAAACATCCGACTTACAAATGACTCACAGTTAAGAATGGGGCTGAGACAATAGGAAGTGAGAAAAATTAGCTCTCGGAAGGAAAATTCACCCCTGAAAGAGTTATCATGGGGAAAAGGTGTCTCCACTGAAGACACCTTGTTTCCACAACAAGCCAAATTATTCAAAATCGAACAGGGACAGAAAGTGAGGTGAAATCTGCTGCACAGAGGCACAAACACCAAGACAAATGCAATAGGGATATTAATCCTTTCTTATGTGACCCAAAGCTAAAAAATACATCCATTTGGATGGAGTTACACTTTAAAAATGTATCCATGAAGTAAGTGATTACGGAATAGTGCAATGATGATTGAAACGACTCTGGACTTTGATTTTGGACTGTGTGGTTTTAATGAGTTTAATGAGTTTTAATGGTTGATGTTTTTAACTTTTTGGATTTTAATGTATTTGTATATTTTACTTGTGTGTGTTTATATGGCATCAAATTGTTGCTTATTATAAGGCCGCTCTGAGTCCCCTTCGGGATGAGAAGGGCAGGGTACAAATATGGTAAATAAATAAACTCTCAATAGACCCAGACAGCATAGACCAAGGATGACAACTGTTGAAGTCCAAGAATACCTAGAACAGTGGTTCTCCACCTTCCTAAGGCTACAACCCCTTAATGCAGTTCCTCATGTTGTGGTGACCCCCAACTACAACATTATTTTCGTTGCAACTTCATAACTGTAATTTTGCTAATGTTATGAATCATAATGTAAATATCTGATATGTAGGATGTATTTTCATCCACTGGACCAAATTTGGCACAAATACCCAATATGCCCAAATTTGAATACTGGTGGGGTTGTGGGGGGGGGGGGGTTGATTTTGTCATTTGGGGGTTGTAGTTCCTGGGATTTATGGTTCATTTAAATTAAAACAGCATTCTGAACTCCACCAATGATGCAATTGAACCAGACTTGGCACACATAACTCCCATGACCAACAGAAAATACTGGAAGGGTTTGGTGGGCATTGACCTTGAGTTTGGGAGCTGTAGTTCACCTACATCCAGAGAGCACTGTGGACTCAAACAATGATGGATCTGGACCAAACTTGGCACAAATACACAATATGTCCAAATGTGAACACTGGTGGAGTTGGGGAAAATAGACCTTGACATTTGGGAGTTGTAGTTGCTGGAACTTATAGTTCACCTGGAAAGAGCATTCTGAAGCCACCAATGATACAAATGCCAAACTTCCCACACAGAACCCCCATGACCAACAGAATACTGTGTTTTCTGATGGTCTTTGGTGACCCCTCTGCCCCCCCCCCCCCCAGGACTCCCGACCCCAGGTTGAGAAACATTGACCTAGAAGATAGCACATTCCCACCCTGGTTTATTTACACCTTTTTCCATCTACAAAAAGCATAGTAACTAATGCTTTCTTTAAAGTAGGTAGGAATAATGCTGATATTTTTTGGACCAGAATTTCCATGGTCCTTCAATATGGGCTAGATCAGGCATGGACGAACTTTGGCCCTCCAGGTGTTTTGGACTCCAACTCCCACAATTTCTATCAGCCTGTTAGGAATTGTGGGGATTGAAGTCCAAAACATCTGAAGGGCTAAAGTTCGCCCATGCATGGCCTAGATTGACTAGAAGTAATGGAAATTGTAGTCCATCAAAGTCTGAAGGGCTACAGTTGTTCACTTCTGCTTGAGATCAGCTCTACCACCATTTTGCAGGCAGATTAGAACTGGGGCTGTTAGAGAGCGATCCTTTTTAAATATCCTCTCAGTTTGATGATGACTCTATGCTAAATATATCTGTTTTGCAATTAAGTTCTTGGTGTCTTTTCTGCTGATCAGATGTCTTCCCAGACGCTCAGATCTCTCCGCTTTCTCTTTTTTTGCAGTGGGGGAGTGATGATCTATTTTGACCGAATAGAGGTTGTAAATTTCCTAATTCAAAGTGCCGGTGAGTTATCTTTGTTGTTCCAACTTATTATGGAGAAATAGTCAAGAGCATTCCAGGCAGGTTTTGCCATGGAAAGTACCTGCACCTGTTGCAATAGTAATGTTATTAAAGTATAGTGCAGTTCAACAGCTTTTTTTTTTTTTTTTTACATATTTGGGAACTAATCTGAGCCTACTAACAAAACATATTCTTTTTCTTACTAGTATACGATATAGTGAAAAACTTCACTGCAGATTATGACAAGGCCCTGATCTTTAACAAAATCCACCATGAACTCAACCAGTTTTGCAGTGTCCACACACTACAGGAAGTCTATATTGAATTGTTTGGTAAGTGTTATTGTCTTTTATCTTGGATTAGCTGTCCCCTGCCACATGTTGCTGTGGCCCAATCTGTATATATGTGTTGTGTGTGTGTGTATGTGTGGTATAGTGTATGCGTTGTAAAGTATTTTTTATTTTTTGGCTTTTTAAGTCTCCTCTGCTGTGTTTTTCGGTGTTTTAATGAGTGATGGTCACTTGTTGGCCTGATAGGTGTATTGTGTCCAAAATTGGTGTCAATTCCCCAATAGTTTTTGCGTTATGTTAATCCCACAAACAAACATTACATTTTTATTTATATAGATGAGCCAAGAGATTGCTCCCTTATTTTTTTGAGTGTTCTCTTTACATCTGTAGTTCTCAACCTTCCTAATACCGCGGCCCCTTAATACAGTTCCTCATGTTGTGGTGACCCCCAATCATACAATTATTTTTTGTTGCTACTTCATAATTCTAATTTTGCTACTGTTATGAATTGTAATGTAAATATCTGATATTCGGGATGTATTTTCATACACTGGACCAAATTTTGCACAAATACCCAATATGTCCAAATTTGAATACTAGTGAGGGTTGTGGGGGAATTGATTTTGTCATTTGGGAGTTGTAGTTGCTGGGATTTATAGTTCAACTGCAATCAAAGAGCATTTTGAACTCCACCAACGATGGAATTGAACCAAACTTGGCACACAGGACTCGACTGACCCAACAGAAACTACTGGAAGGGTTTGGTCGCCAGAGTTGTAGTTCACCTACATCCAGAGAGCACTCTGGACTCAAACAATGATGGATCAGGACCAAACTTGGCATGAATACATAATATGACCAAATGTGAACACTGGTGGAGTTTGGGTAAAATAGACCTTGACATTTGGGAATTGTAGTTGCTGGGATTTATAGTTCACCTACAATCAAAGAGCATTCTGAACCCCACCAAGGATAAAATTGGGCCAAACTTCCCACAAAGAACACTCATGACCAACAGAAAATACTGTACTTTCTGATGGTCTTTGGCTACCCCGCTGACACCCCCTAATGACCCCCAGGTTGAGAAACACTAGATTGAAAAGTCTAGTGGGCAGGATTATGCAAATTTGGAGAGAAAGGAGAACCTTCTGGAGAAAAAACAGAACATCTAGGATGAAATGGTCCCCAAATGAAAACATTTCCTTGGGCTAAATGTTCACTATAACCTGCAGTGCTAATTGAGGGCGTGCCTTTGTGAAACTGTTGGTTTAATATTTTACCAGATCAGATTGATGAAAACCTGAAACTGGCTCTCCAGCAAGATCTGACCTCTATGGCACCAGGACTCATCATTCAGGTAAACACTAATATTGAGAAATACATTGGAAATGAAGAAATCTTGCAAGATTTATAATATTATAATGTAATGCAATATAATACTACTAATAATAATATGATATAGAATCAAAGAGTTGGAAGAGACCTCATGGGCCATCCAGTCCAACCCATTCTGCCAAGAAGCAGGAATATTGCATTCAAATCACCCCTGACAGATGGCCATCCAGCCTCTGTTTAAAAGCTTCCAAAGAAGGAGCCTCCACCACACTCCGGGGCAGAGAGTTCCACTGCTGAACGGCTCTCACAGTCAGGAAGTTCTTCCTCATGTTCAGATGGAATCTCCTCTCTTGTAGTTTGAAGCCATTGTTCCGCGTCCTAGTTTGCAAGGAAGCAGAAAACAAGCTTGCTCCCTCCTCCCTGTGGCTTCCTCTCACATATTTATACATGGCTATCATATCTCCTCTCAGCCTTCTCTTCTTCAGGCTAAACATGCCCAGCTCCTTAAGCCGCTCCTCATATATTACATGTAATATTATGAATAATATTACAATATAATGGTATAGTACAATATAGTGATATATAATACTGATAGTGTACTATGCTAATAATATAATGTGTGTGTGTGTGTGTGTATATATATATATACACACACACACACACACACACACACACACACACACACACACACTAGCCGTCCCCTGCCACGCGTTACTGTGGCCAAGTCTGGTGATCTGTAAAATAAAGTAATAGTTTCTAATATATGTAATTCCTTTCTGCTTGTGAGTAAACAGTATTTCTTGCGGTTTCTTTGTCAGTGTTGATGTGGAGAGTGTCTGGTTTGCCTACTCTGGAACACGCAACATATAATTGTCCTTCTTTAGGGGACCCTTTAAAATCTATGATAGTATATCTGTGTGTGTGTGAATCATATATATCTATATCTGTGGCTGGATAGCTCTTCATCAGGAGGGCTTTGATTACGTTTTCTTGCCCTGGTGAAGGGAGTTGGACTGGATGGCCTTAAGTATGGTGGTTCTGTGTGGGAATTTTGCCCCAGTTCTGTCATTGCTGGGGTTCAGCATGCTCTTTGATAGTAGGTGAACTATAAATCCCAGTAACTACAACTCCCAAATGTCAAGGTCTATTTCCCCCAAACTACATCTGTGTTCATATTTGGGCATATGAAATATTTGTACCAAGTTTGGTCCAGGTCCATCATTGTTTGAGTCCAAAGTGTTCTCTCGATGTAGGTAAACTACAACTCCCAGACTCAAGGTCAATGCTCACCAAATCCTTCTAGTATTTTTTGTTAGTCATGGGAGTTCTGTGCCCCAAGATTGGTTCAGTTCCATCATTGGTGGAATTCAGAATGCTCTTTGATTGTAGGTGAACTATAAATCCCAGCAACTACAACTCCCAAATGACAAAATCAATTTTTTTGAGTGAAGGACATACATTGGGTTGTTAGGTGTCTTGTGTCCAAATTTGGTGTCAATTTGTCCAATGGTTTTTGAGTTCTGTTAATCCCACAAACGGACATTACATTTTTATTTATATAGATATATATCTTGTAAGCCCCTCTGAGTCCCCTTCGCGGTGAGAAGGGCGTCAGGGAACCGCCTACCTGCTCAAGCGCATCTCGGTCTACGAACCCACGCGACCTCTTCAATCTTCCGGGGAAGCCCTTATCTCGCTGCCACCCGCATCGCAAGTGCAACATGTGGGGACGAGAGAGAGGGCCTTCTCTGTAGTGGCCCCCCGGCTCTGGAACTCACTACCCAGAGATATTAGACAAGCCCCCTCACTGGCAATCTTCAGGAGGAACCTGAAAACCTGGTTATTCCAATGTGCTTTCAATGATTGAATGTAGGACACTCCCCGACCAAAATGACCTCAGAAGCACTTTATTTTATGGTTCGTGTAATTAAATCCTTCCTCATCCCGGTTTCCCCTTCACGACAATTTTACATTGCCTATGTCCCAGTGTTTTTAAAATATTTTAAATTTTTATTCTTGAAGTGGCCCTGCCCAGTGGAATTCCTTGTGTTCGATGTTTGATTTTATATTGCTGTGTTGTCTATTATATTGGTTTTTGCATTTTATGTTTTTGTGTAATACTTTGTTTATTCTGTTGATGGGCGTGGCCTCATGTAAGCCGTCCCGAGTCCCCCTGGGGGAGATGGAACGGGGTATAAATAAAATATTATTATTATTATTATTATTATTATTATTATTAAACAGCCAGAATCTTTCGTGCTGCATTCGAATTCATTGGGTGTTTGCTAACAGATTGATAATGGAGAATGCCCTTCCAGTTTGGAGTGTATTAAGTCTTGGGCACTGGGACACAGGAATTCTTCCATGCAACCGACATTAGCCCAGTCCCCTGTTACAGGCACTAGAAAATGCTGTTAACACTGACTGTGTTGGTTATATGCTTCCCGCATCCCGCCCCACCCACTCCCATCATCTTCGCTTCCATTTTGTCCAGGCAGTTCGAGTTACAAAGCCAAACATCCCAGAAGCAATTCGAAGGAATTATGAACTCATGTGAGTAACATTCTTTCTTTGGCTTCCAATATGATTGGGGTTGGAGGTGCTAAGATCCATAGAACTGGGAGATAACTTTGCAATCTAGATTTGGGAAACCTTTGAATGATTATATGCTTAGTAGAACTCCCACAATCCATTGCTACTAAGTATGCGAGCAGAGGTTTCTGAGATTTTGCCATTTTAGGGGAATCTTTTGCTACCATAGCCAGTGATAAAGAGTTCTCAAACTGTTTGTCAAATTGGCTAAAATTAAAGTGTTTCGATATAATTCAGGTATTTCTTACAGTTCAGGACCTTCCTCTGCTTCAAGTATAACACTTTAAAAAAAATTGAGCTTGTAACTGTTCTGTCGCACACTGGGCCTGTAAATAATTGTCTTTAGAACAGGATGTGCAACCCTAGCCCAGCGGGAAACCAGGGGGCCTAAAGAGAAATTCTCAGAGGTTTCCACCACAAACAGTCTTTAGATGGCTTGAGAAGTACAACAAAGTCTTTTATTAATGAACAATCAAACAGAAACTTCTCTTGTCTTCAGTAAAGTTAAGCAAATGATTCCAAGCTTTTAGTCAACTGGTGAATTCCTAATCTTGCCCACGAAGAACAGGCAACTGTCTTCAATAACTTCTTCTTTAAAGGAAAATCCCCTTTTTAACTTCTCCCAGGCTGACTGTAATCTAACCCTTACTGATGTGGGCCCCCGCTACCGGGTTGAACTGCTTCTTGAATGCCGAGTGGACCTCCCAGCAAAGGCTTAGATGTTCTCCAGCTGGAGTTCTTTGGTCTTTAGGGCTGTTTTCCTGGAAATTCTTAAAGGTTGAAGCTTTTGTATGGGGAAGCTTGCACACATCCTATACATAAGCTTACCTTGCTGAGACTAACTAAAAAAATGGCTCCCTTCCCAATTGCCCTGAGCAAGGGGCGGGACCGAAACTTAACGATGATGCACAGGTGACTTGCCCTATGACTGCAACCAAAAGAAGCCACCTATCTGCAAAGTCCCTGACTGCGAGCAAACATTTAATACAAAGGAAATAAAGTAGGAGCTCCTGGTACAGCCATACCTGCACAGTAACTGTATTTGGAATTAATTGTATCTTTAATATATCAAACATGATAATGTTATATCATACAGCCTTATAAATGTTATGTTCCTATGTAATTGTACAACGTACAATTTATAAAGGGGTTTAATGTTGCGTTTTTTGTTAATATCATTTTTAAACTCTTTTTATTCCTCCAAATTGAAAAACACGCACAGATCTCATGGCTTCAGCATTTCTGGAAATTTTACAGTTTTAATCAAAATCCTATTAGCTGATATCTCACCAATCAGAGGTGTTTCTCATTCCCAGTATGTTAATAGTTGAAACAGTATGAATAGCTTTCCCATTTCAATTAGGTTGTGGAGTTAAAGCAAGTTTGAAGTCTTGTGTAAAAGAACTATATGTTTTGTTTTGAAACTGATAAACAGACTTGTAGAGTGAGAATTTGCTCAGAAGGAATTCCATTCTTTAATCCCAAGTGATCTTGAAGTTTTTTAAAAAAAAGAATATCTAAAATGTCCGAAGTGACTATTCCTACTCATATACCTGCACCCTTTCAAGTCGAGCATCTTTTATGTAGGGCAGTGGTTCTCAACCTTCCTAATGCTGCGACCCTTGAATACAGTTCCTCATGTTGTGGTGACCCTCAACCATAACATTACTTTTGTTGGTACTTCATAACTGTAATTTTGCTACTGTGATGAATCGTAATGTAAATCTCTGATGTATTTTCATAATTATTTCTCTTTCTCCCTGGGATTCGGCCATGGAGAGGCCACTCCACCCCTCTCTATGCCCCTCCCTCACCTTCTCACCTCCACCTCCCTCTTGGCTCCAAAGCAAACCTCACCTCCATTGCTCCTATTTCTTCCTTCTAAAATGGGAGAGGGGCAGAAGGGGCAGGGCTGAGTGACATTACCACCTCCCTCCAGAGAAAAGAAGAGGCCCTAAAAAGTTAGTGGTGTCTCAGTTCCTAAGACCATTGCATATATGTGTTTTCCAATGGTCTTAGGTGAACCCTGTGAAAGGGTTGTTCGATCCCCAAAGAGGTTGCAACCCACAGGTTGAGAACCACTGATGTAAGGGATGCACCGGGATTGTGGCGCAGCTGACTGAGTGTCAGCTGCATTAAGATCATTCTGACCAAAAGGTCATGAGTTCGAAGCCAGCCCGGGTTGGAGTGGGCTTCCAACCAATTGTGTAGCCTGTTGTCGACCTTTGCAACCCGAAAGACAGTTGCATCTGTCAAGTAGGAAAATTAGGTACCACCTTAAATTAACTAATTTATGAGGCCATAAAAAAAGACTCCAGCAAGCACTCCAGCAAAAAGCATACGGGGAATGCAGAAGTACTTCATCAGTGTTGCAGATGGACGATGAAAGCGACAGCTCCCCTGGCGGCCAGAAAAAGTTAAATAGCCTCTGTCTATGTCTGTATATGTTGTATGTCAAAATTGGCATTGAATGTTTGCCGTATATGTGTACACTGTAATCCTCCCTGAGTCCCCTGTGGGGTGAGAAGGGTGGAATATAAAAGCTGTAAATAATAATAATAATAATAATAATAATAATAATAATAATAATGAATGCTTCATTGTGCTGATGTTTTACTGGCATGTCTGTTTTGATCCCTTTAGGGAGAGTGAGAAAACCAAGCTGTTGATCGCAGCTCAGAAGCAGAAGGTGGTAGAGAAGGAGGCTGAGACAGAGCGGAAAAAGGCTCTCATTGGTTCGTGTGCAATTCTTGCTTCCATATGTGAATGCTTAGAGACAATGGGAGGTTGTGCAGAACATAAGTAGTGATGTATTCAATCCTTTTCCCAGGGCAATGGCAGGTTTTGAGGATTCAAGGGCTGACATGAAGCAGGGATCCACAATAGACAAGGATCCCTGCTTATCCGACGGAATATCGGATAACAGGTTATCCAACGGAATATCACATAACGAATTTGGATTCTGATTTCATTGACGAGACCTGATGGATTTGTTATATTGATGTAGTGATGTATTGATATTGATGTTTAATGATTTGTGATGCTATTGCTTTTAAATGCTTAATGATTTTGTATTGTGTATACCTAAATTGTTGTAAACCGCTCTGAGTCGCCTAAGGGCTGAGAAGAGCGGTATACAAATAAAGTAAATAATAAATAAATAAATAAATAAATAATAGAGCTATGTGGGCTGCACATAATTTACATTGGAAGAATATTATATTTTTAATGTGTGATCCTCTTCCTCATCCAACGCATCATGTATCTTATCCAATTGAATCTTTCAGGACAGAATTTTTCACACTAGTTGTGAGATAATGACAGTTGTTAAATGATAAGTAAGAACTTGCTATAAACTAATCACAACAGAAAAAGCATCAGCCATGGTCTGGAGGAATGCATCTGGCATAACCTTAAATGCAAATCCTCACTTGTAAAGAGGAAAACAATTGAGAAGCTGTTGTAACCCTAGGGTGCATCTACACTGTATAAATAATGCAGTTTGACAACTCTTGTTTCAATGTTATGGAATCCCGAGAGATCCCATTTGCTGAAACACTAGCAATTCCATGATTCTGTAGCATTGAGCAGTTAGAGTGGTGTCAAGCTGCATTCTATCATTTAAACAATTTTACTAAAACCCTCACATTTACATTTACATTTTTAAAAAACCATTTTAACTTGTTAAACCTGTCCTTTTAACGTTTTAAATTGTTTTTGGAATTTTAAAATTATTAACACTGTTATCATTGGCTTTATTGTATGTCTTGCTGAGATCTCTGGATAGAGGGTGGGATATAAATATTTTTAAAAGCACATACCATATATAAGCTGAGGTTTCACCCCCTTTTTTAGGCTGAAAAAGCCCTCCTCAGCTTATACTTGAGTCAAAATTATTTATTATTTTACTTTTTCAATATGTCTCTGTATAGCAGGAACCTTTACTTGCATTGACCATATGTGTGGTACCCTCTGGTCTCTGTGTTTTTATTCTCTCCATGCAGAGGCAGAAAAAATTGCTCAGGTGGCTGAGATAACATATGGACAGAAGGTGATGGAAAAAGAAACGGAGAAAAGAATTTCAGAGATTGAAGGTGAATAGAAACCTATTTAATGCATTTCTACCTGTCCCGGGCTTTGAAAATAATGAATCCTTAAAAACTCACATTTGTTATATAGATAGATAGACAGACAGACAAACAGACAGACAGATAGCATCGTGGTTGGTGCTCTTTAGTTTTTACTCAGTTTGGATCCCTAGATATTGTCTGTTGTTGGTGGGGTTCAGCATGGTCTTTGATTGTAGGTGAACTATAAATCCCATTAACTACAACTCCCAAATGTCAAGATCTATCCTCCAAACTCCAACTGTGTTCATATTTGGACATATGGAATATTCGTGCCAAGTTTGGTCCAGATCCATCATTGTTTGAGTCCAGAGGTCTCTCTGGATGCAGGTGAACTACAACTCCCAACTCAAAGTCACTGCCCACCAAACCCTTCTACTGTTTTCTGTTGGTTATGGGGGTTCTTTGTGGTAGTTCAGAATGCTCTTTGATTGTAGGTGAACTATAAATCCCATTAACTACAACTCCCAAATGTCAAGGTCTATTTCCTCCAAACTCCAACTGTGTTCATATTTGGGCATAGGGAATATTCGTGCCAAGTTTGGTCCAGATCCATCATTGTTTGAGTCCACAGTTCTCTCTGAATGTAGGTGAACTACAACTCCCAAACTCAAGGTCAATGCCACCAAACCCTTCTAGTGTTTTCTGTTGGTCACAGGAGTCCTGTGTGCCAAGTTTGGTTCAATTCCATCATTGGTGGAGTTCAGAATGCTCTTTGATTGCAGGTTAACTATAAATCCCAGCAACTACAACTCCCAAATGACAAAATCAATTTTTTGAGTGATGGTCACTCCTTGGGTTAGTAGGTATCTTGTGGCCAAATTTGGCGGCAATTTGTCCAGTGGTTTTTGAGTTATGTTAATCCCAGAAACGAACATTACATTTTATTTATATAGATAATATAATATACACATAATATTTATAATATTATAATATAATACAATATAATTCTAATAATAATACGATATTATAATTATATATTTTATATTACATGTAATATTACTAATAATATTGCAATATAATATTTTTTTCATGTCAGGAGTGACTTGAGAAACTGCAAGTCACTTCTGGTGTGAGAGAATAGGCCGTCTGCAAGGACGTTGCCCAGGGGACGCCTGGATGATTTGATGTTTTTATCATCCTTTGTGGGAGGCTTCTCTCATGTCCCTGTATTATTTATTTATCGTGTCATCCGCAACCAGAACATTGTATTACATTTCTAACAGAACAAAACAAACAAACAGATTAAAAAAAAACCCCACAAATTTTGCAAACTTGGTAGCTGATTAAATGTCCTTTGACCAGTATCTGGCCACTTGGAGTGCCTCTGGTGTTGCCGCAAGAAGGTCCTCCATTGTGCATGTGGCAGGGCTCAGGTGGCATTGCAGTAGGTGGTCAGTGGTTTGCTCTTCTCCACACTCGCATGTCGTGGATTCCACTTTGTGGTTCCATTTCTTGAGGTTGGTTCTGCATCTTGTGGTGCCAGAGCGCAGTCTGTTCAGTGCCTTCCAAGTCGCCTACTCTTCTGTGTGCCCAGGGGGGAGTCTCTCATCTGGTATCACCCACGGATTGAGGTTCTGGGTTTGAGCCTGCCACTTTTTGACTCTCGCTTGCTGAGGTGTTCCAGCGAGTGTCTCTGTAGATCTAAGAAAACTATTTATTTATTTATTTATTTATGAGGAGCTGGAGCTGATAGAGGGAGCTCATCCGTCTCTCCCCGGATTCAAACCTGTGACCTGTCGGTCTTCAGTCCTGCCGGCACAGAGGTTTAATCCACTGCACCACTGGGGGCTCCACAATATAATAGTACAGTACAATATAGTAATATATAATACTGATATTGTACTACGCTAATAATATAATATATTGTATGCATCTATATCTTGCACCTCCTGGTGGCGCAGTGGGTTAAAGCACTGAGCTGCTGAGCTTGTTGACCAAAAGGTCGCAGGTTCGATTCTAGGGAGCGGTGTGAGCTTCCGCTGTCAGCCCTAGCTTCTGCCAACCTTTGAAAACATGCAAATGTGAGTAGATCAATAGGTACCGCTCTGGCGGGAAGGTAACGGCGCTCCATGCGGTCATGCTGGCCACATGACCTTGGAGGTGTCTATGGACAATGCTGGCTCTTTGGCTTAGAAATGGAGATGAGCACCACACCCCAGAGTCAGACATGACTGGACTTAATGTCAGGGGACAACCTTTACCTTTATATCTTGCAAGCTGCTCTGAGTCCCCTTCGGTGTCAGAAGGGCGGCATATAAATGTCTTAAGTCAATAAATATATACCAAAGTTTATTCCCATTGGGAGCAGGAAGGAACATAAGTTTTCTTATCCAGTATTCTGTATCATCTGCTGTTGGACTGGATGGCGTGAAGGCATGGTCAACTGGTTGGCTACAGTCCATCCCTACAGCTTTGGAGCTGCTGTTGCTGTCAGTGTAGTTATTCTGGGAGTATGTGATATTATTGCATCTTTGTCATTCCTGAACTTGGGAAAGGCCCTGCTTAGGCTGCCTGCAAACATCACGTCTCTCAGTCTGGTTGAGTTCATTAAGGGCCCTGTCAAGATCTGCAGCATCTCACAGAGGAGCCAATTAGTGGTTTACAGATCAGCGATCTCTCATTAGACTGTCCCCAGCAGAGCGAGGGTCGTTTTCTTTCTCGTCGAGGCATTTTGCCAAGAGCCAAGCCCTCGATGCAGTCTCATAGGAGTCGGAAGGCCGGCTGTTCCCCCAGCAGAGAATCCCTGGCTTTGCTCCAGACCCTGCCAGCTGCTCTGCCAAGCAACTGCCACTTGGCAGACTTGCACCACATACACTTGCATCGCACACACTTTCAGCTGTTGGAGTCGGTCGTGGCTGCCTTTGCAAGATGTCAGCAGAAATGGCTGGCTAATGGTGTTCTGTGTTTTGAAACAACATGGTGTGGTCTCAGGGAAGGTAGCGTCAGAAAAACATTGTGTTTTTTCCTTTTTCCGAAAAGCATTGTTGCTAAGGTTGTTATATAAATAAGGCTTCCTAGATCAGAAGCAACAGAAACAGCAAATGTTTTTGCAACTTTATTAAAGGACTTCCATAATAATCTATAAAGTAAAATAATAAATGTAATAATAATAATAATAATAATAATAATAATAATAATAATAATAATAAATCTATATAAATAGATTCGCTTGTAGGATTAACATAACTCAAAAACCACTGGACAAATTGACACCAAATTTGGACACTATACCCCTAACAGACCAACGAGTGACCATCACTCGTAAAAACACTGAAAACCACAGCAGAAGAGTGGGTTGTTGTAGGTTTTTTCGGGCTGTATGGCCATGGTCTAGAGCAGTGGTTCTCAACCTGGGGTCCCCAGATGTTTTTGGCCTACAACTCCCAGAAATCCCAACCAGTTTAGCAGCTGTTGGGATTTCTGGGAGTTGAAGGCCAAAAACATCTGGGGACCCAAGGTTGAGAACCACTGGTCTAGAGGCATTCTCTCCTGACGTTTCGCCTGCATCTATGGAAAGCATCCTCAGTGGTAGTGAGGTCTATTGGAACTAGTCCTTTGTCTCACCCTGGTCATTCCACAGATGTATAAACCCATTTTCATAATACACTGATAGTGTACTATACTATCCTTTCTTCCTTCTCTACCTCTTTCTTCCATTCCTTCTTTCAATCTTTGGTTTCATCTTTCCTTCTCTCTTTCCTTCCTTTCCTCCCTCTTTCTCTACTTCTTCCTTTGCCTCCTTTCTCTCCCCCCCCCCCCGTTTCCTTCCTTCTTTCATTTTTTATTTCCTTTTTTCCTTCCTTCTTTACCTCTCTCCTGCATTTCCCTCCATTTTTCTTTCCTTTCTACTTTCTCTTCTTCCTTCGGTACCTCTTTCTTTCCTTCCTTCTCTCCTTCCTTCCCTCCTTCTCTCTTCCCTTTCTTCCCCCTTTCCCTCCTTCATTCCTTTCCATTTTTCCTTCCTCTTTTCTTCTCTCCTTCCTTCTTGTCCATTCTCCCCCAATACCATGGTAAAGTCCCTTCTAACTCTATTCTATGAGTCTGTTTAATATAGTAATATATAGTAGTATATATAACAATAATGTAATGTAATATATGCGTGTTATATAGCAATATATATAATAGTAATATATGAAGTATTGTATATATATATGTATGTATATCACCAACATCGATCCATATATGTGTGCGCGTGTGCACGTGTGTCTACACTGCCATATAATCCAGTCCTAAGTAGATAATCTGGATTTTACATGGCAGTGTGGAAGGGTTGACTTTGGGTGCATCTACACTGTAGATTTAATAAAGGAGGATGAAGGTGGCGAGGGGAGGAGAAAAAGCAAGGAAAGAAAGGAAGGGAAGGAGAATGAAGGGAAGTAGAGAAAGGGAGGTAAGGGAGAAGGGAGGGAAGGAGGAGGTTGAACCAGATGGCCTTTAGGCCTCCCTTCCAACTGGTTGGCCATCTATTGTGAGGGCTTTGACTGTGTCTTCCTTTACTGCCAAATGAAGTTGGGCTGGATGGTCTTTGGGGGTCTTTGGGACATGCAGGGAGCAGCTGCCTCGGAACCCTCATTCTCTGTTCTCAGCTTGAGGGGAGGTGGGGAGCGGTGTTGTCTTCTTCCTTTTTTGAATTTAAAGGTGTTTTGTGAGGTTTTTTTCAGTGATGGTCACTCCTTGGATTGTGAGGAGTTTTGTTGCCAAATTTGGGGTCATTTGGCCCCGTAGTTTTTTTTGTTTTTAAGCCACTCATTATGCACAGAGCATTTATATATATATAGATAGATTGTATGTATATATACCTTGTAAGCCACTCCAAGTCCCCTTCAGGGTGAGAAGGGTGGCATATAAATGTCGTAAATAAAGAAATGTAAATAAATACCTTTACCTACTTAAAAAGCCCTCAAGCATCCTTTTCAATGCAAACCCTTGGGTCTCCTTGGTTTGAATGTAATACTTTGTACCCCATTTGATTCTCTTTTGTAAAGAGGGTGGCTTAGTGTCTTCCATATCCTATCCTATTCGATTTGTCGTCAGTCCACTCAGTTGGGCTTCATGCAAATCTACCATAATAATAATAATAATAATAATAATAATAATAATAATAATAATAATCCTTTATTTGTACCCCGCTACCATATCCCACAGGACTCGGTGCGGCTTACAAGAGGCCGAGCCCAAAGTACATCATTAACAAAAACACAACAGACAACAATACAATGCAACAATAAATAAGCAAGCAATAAAACAGTAACAAAAGCACGACACTGTTAAAAACCTGTGGCAGGGCCAAATGTAATAGTTAAAATTCTAAAAATGCTGGGCATATCCAGGTGAGGTAGACTGAATATTTTGGGAATAGAAGGGTGTGCAAACAATTCTAACTTTCTCATAAAGTGCATTAGGGACAATTGCTTGGGATTTCTTAATCTGGGAAGGCACACTGGAACATCCATTTTTTTCAAGCTCTTTCTGAAGACTGCCAGTGTTGGGGGAGTGCCTGATGTCCTTGGGGAGGGAGTTCCAGAGTCATGGGGCCACCACCGAGAAGGTCCTGTCCCTCATCCCCACCAATCGTGCTTGCGATGCTGGTGGGATCGTGAGCAGGGCCTCACCAGATGAACGAAGGGATCATGTGGGTTTATATACGGAAATGCGGTCATGCAGGTAGGTGGGTCCCAAACCGTTTAGCAAAATATACCATCCTGTGCTTTTCTTTTCCATTTCTGGCCAAATATTATTTAGTTTATTTTATTTTTATTAGCTTAACCATTGGTTCGTCCCATCAAATACGAGGTCTGCTTGTGGTCTCTTGGTATCCAGTTCGTTAGTCGACATGTCCATCAATGGCTGGAAGACTCACTTGCTTTTTCTTTTTGCAGATGCTGCGTTCCTCGCCAGAGAGAAGGCAAAAGCGGATGCTGAATGTTACACTGCCTTGAAGGCGGCTGAAGCTAACAAGGTAAAGGGCGTGCCAGCTTTGCAATAGATCTTCTCCTAGACTTCCAGATTGTTCTTATGGCTTCCAGGAGAAACGAAGGCTAAATAAACATTACTTTTAGACAAAGAGTTCCTGAGTCAGAGTTTATTATTATGTATTGTCGAAGGCTTTCATAGCCGGAATCACTGGGTTGTTGTAGGTTTTTTCGGGCTATATGGCCATGTTCTAAAGGCATTTTCTCCTGACGTTTCACCTGCATCTATGGCAAGCATCCTCAGAGGTAGTGAGGTCTGTTGGAACTAGGAAAAAGGGTTTATATATCTGTGGAATTTATTATTATGAGTTAATTTTCACAGTGGTGATGATTTTTCTGGATTTTATCAGTTCAGACTCCAAGTGGGATTCATATGATTCAAGTAATTTTTGACAAATTAGTTTGGTACCACTGTGTTTATGACTATTTTTCCTGTATAATTCCAAACCCTTGGCTAAATTGAAGGTTTTTAAGAAGCATTGCTCTTTCTCGTGCAGCAGGGAATGCCTCTTTTGAGATGCTATTGCTTAATTAAAAATCAATAGTGTAATGTATCTTCCTGTTCTTCTGCAGTGCATACATAATTGATTAATTAATTGAATGATGATTGATTGATTGATTGATTGATTGAATGGTGTTTATTATTAATTAATTGATTAATTAATTGAATGATGTTTATTAGCAGCTCTAATTGATTCCATAGGATAATTCTACAATTATATCTTTTTATTGTTGAAGGCTTTCATGGCCAGAATCACTGGGTTGTTGTAGGTTTTTCCGGGCTATATGGCCATGTTCTAGAGGCATATTTTCTCCTGACGTTTCGCCTGCATCTATGGCAAGCATCCTCAGAGGTAGTGAGGTCTGTTTGGAAGTAGGAAAATGGGTTCAATCTGTGGAATGATCAGGGTGGGACAAAGGACTTTTGTCTGCTGGACCTAGGTGTGAATGTTTCAACTCACAACCACCATGTCAGACTACACAGAGAAGCCATTGAAATCCACAAGCATATGGACAATTTCAACAGAAAAGAAGAAACCATGAAAATGAACAAAATCTGGCTACCAGTATTAAAAAAACTCTAAAATTACAACAGCAAAACAACAGAGGAAAAACAATCAGGGACATCTAATCACCTCTCAACAAAAGATTGCCCCAGGCACTTCCAAGCCATTAAATGCTAATCAAGGTGGTCAGTTGAAACATTCACACCTAGCTTCAGCAGACAAAAGTCCTTTGTCCCATCCTGGTCATTCCACAGATATATAAACCCATTTTTCCTACTTCCAACAGACCTCACTACCTCTGAGGATGCTTGCCATAGATGCAGGCGAAACATCAGGAGAAAATATGTCTCTAGAACATGGCCATATAGCCCGGAAAAACCTACAACAACCCATTATATCTTCTGTTTCCTTCATTGTGGATCCTCTTTTGTTTATTTGATGTTGTATGCCTTTAAATCCTTTCCAAATTGATCACATCTCTAAGGAAGTGTTTCTCAATCTGGGGGTCAGGATCCTGAATGGGGGGTCACAAGAGAGTTTCAGAGGGGTCACCAAAGACCATCAGAAAACATATATTTCTGATGGTCCTAGGAACACCTTTGGCAGATAAGGCTGAAGATCTCTCCGCCTCTCCTCTTTCTTTTTGGAAATAGAAGGCAAATCCTTCCACCAAAACCCTCCTTCACTGTGATTGGCAGCCTCTCAACCAAGGGGAGGGCTGTTTCTGAGACTTCAAGTGGGGAGGGGAGAGCAAGCATGCTCAACGCAAGGTAGCATTAGGCACATGTTTGGGCGAGGGAGAGCATATAAGGCTGGAGGGAGGTTCACGCCAGCAAGTCCCTTCAAGACATGAGGGTTCTGTGTGGGAAGTTTGGCCCAATTCTATCATTAGTGGGGTTCAGAATGCTCTTTGATTGTAGATGAACTATAAATCCCAGCAATCACAACTCCCAAAATGTCAAGGTCTATTTCCCCCAAACTCCACCAATGTTCACATTTGGGCATATTGAGTATTCGTGCCAACTTTGGTCCAGATCCATAATTGCTTGAGTTCACACTGCTCTCTGCATGTAAGTGAACTACAACTCCAAAACTCAATCTCAATGACTGCCAAATGCTTCCAGTGTTTTCTGTTGGTAATGGGAGATCTGTGTGCCAAGTTTGGTTCAATTCCATCCTTGGTGGAGTTCAGAATGCTCTTTCGTTGTAGGTGAACTTTACATCCCAGCAACTCCAACTCCCAAATGACAAAATCAATCCCCCCTCCAATCCAAAGTTTGGGCCAGAACTGTCATTGTTCATAGTGCTCTCTGTATGTGGGTGAACTACAACTCCAAAACTCAAGGTCAATGCCCACCAAACTCTTCCAGTATTTTCTGTTGATCATGGGAGTTCTGTGTGCCAAGTTTGGTTCAATTCCATCACTGGTGGAGTTCAGAATGCTCTTTGATTGTAGGTGGACTATAAACCCCAGCAACTACAACTCCCAAATGACAAAATCAATCCCCGCAACCCCACTAGTATTCAAATTTGGGAGTATCGGGTATTTGTGCCAAATTTGGTGCAGTGAATGAAAATACATTTATAGTGTCTTGATGTATTGTTTATTGCTTGTTGTTAATATTGTTTTAACTGTTTTTAATTTGCTTTAGGTGTTGTATTGTTGTGTTGTGTTTTGAGGCCTTGGCCTATGTAAGCCGCATCGAGTCCTTCGGGAGATGCTAGCGGGGTACAAATAAAGTTTAATAATAATAATAATAATAATAATACATCCTGCACATCAGATTTCTACAATACAATTCATAACAGTAGAAAAATTACAGTTATGACTTGGGTGATGGTTGAAGTTTTTATGTAGGTAGCTATTAGGCTTGGGTGGTTTCGTTCATTAATTTCGTAATTTGTTATTAATTCGTATTTAAATTAGCTTACGATCCGATATTGAGCCATGCAGGACTACTGTGAGGAGTAATTAAAAATCGAAACAATTTTTCCAATTCATTCCATATTGTTTCGTAATTGTTTCGTAATTGGTTCGAAATTGTTTTGAAATTGTTTCGTAATTGTTTCGTAATTATTTCCATATGTCTGGTGCAAGTTTTATAGTTGTTGTTTGTTTTATCAGTGATAAAAAATAAATTATCACACCAACAGTCAACAACAGAGGGAGAGGGAAGCTTCAGAAGTTCCCCCTGTCCCATTTGGAGGGTTTTTTAGCATATTGCGCAATCGCGTCTGCCATTAACGAATCAATTCGTAATTTTACGAAATTTCGTATATTTCGAACTTTTTAAAAGGAAAATTTCGAATTCTTTAAAAAAACGAAACGCAAGGGCCCCCCTAAAAACGAAACGAGTTTAGAACCAAATTTTTCCGTAGTTACCCAAGCCTAGTATCTATCTATGTGTGTAGTTTTTCTGTAAACTGTGTAACTCAATTGTTGATCTGGTTTGCGGCTGACATTAATCTCTTGAGTGGTTATCCTAACACTGTGCTCCTTCCTCTTCAGCTAAAACTGACTCCGGAGTACTTGCAGCTGATGAAGTACAAGGCAATTGCCTCCAACAGCAAAATCTATTTTGGCAAAGATATTCCCAACATGTTTATGGACCACGGTGGGACGCCCGCCAAGTCTTCGGAAGGATCCCCTGAGGAGCTGAGAGATGACAACTGGCTAGGAGCAGAGCCGGGCTTGTGATCCTCCGTCGGATGGATGGAGCCGACCCCTAACCACTCTCCTTGGTGTGATCTTCTCTCTTTTTCTAGGATGCTGCACAAACCCCACTTTTGTACTGAAAATGCAGACTTGGGAGCACATAACTCTTTCCACTTCCTCGGTAATTGTTTGCCTTAGTGCAGATGAAGGAAGGAACACTGAATCATGCTCAGAGGTCCGTGGCATCCCCGTGATTGACTCTACAGCAGCCTCAATTGAAAACATGCTGGGTTCGTTGGATTTTTGTAGCAATTTGAGGAGAATGAACTGTCTCTTGCCAGAAATGGTACTATCCTCTTGTTGTATGTATGCTACGGATGAAGTTTAACATGTGGGTGACAAATGTGTTTCCAGAAAATTCACAGAACAGATTTTTTTCCCCCTTCGTCTTCCCCTTTTTTAATGAAAGTTGACTGTGTGTTTCCTGGATAAGAAGCACATCAGTCAAATAGATACTATTATTGGATTACTTGGATTATTGGGCATCTTGTCCAGTTGTTGGGTTTCATCTGTAGCATATATGTTTAACCCACCCTGCCCCCAAAATAAAGGTGCTATGTTTTTAAGACCACCCACACTACAAATTCTACATGTGGCATTGATTGGGAGCATTAAATAACAACACACTACAAGCATGTCTGAATTGTACTTATTATGGAATCATAGAGTTGGAAGAGTCGGGCCATCATAGAGTTATTATGATTTATTTATTTTTGTCGTGTCAGGAGCAGCCGCTCCTGTTGTGAGAGAATTGACCGTCTGCAAGGACGTTTCCCAGGGGACGCCTGGATGATTTTTGATGTTTTATCATCCTTGTGGGAGGCTTCTCTCATGTCCCCACATGAGGAGCTGGAGCTGATAGAGGGAGCTCATCCGCCTCTCCCCGGACTCGAACCTGCGACCTGTCGGTCTTCAGTCCTGCCGGCACAGAGGTTTAACTCACTGCGCCACCGGGGGCTCCGTGGCAGTTATTATGATGGAATCATATTATTATTATTATTATTATTATTATTATTATTATTATTATTATGTTACTATGATGGAATTGTACTTATTATGGAATCATAGAGTTGGAAGAGTTGGGCCATCATAGAGTTATTATGATGGAATCATATTATTATTATTATTATTATTATTATTATTAAGTTATTATGATGGAATTGTACTTATTATGGAATCATAGAGTTGGAAGAGTTGGGCCATCATAGAGTTATGATGATGGAATCATATTATTATTATTATTATTATTATTATTATTATTATTATTAAGTGACTATGATGGAATTGTACTTGTTATGGAATCATAGAGTTGGAAGAGTTCGGCCATCATAGAGTTATGATGATGGAATCATATTATTATTATTATTATTATTAAGTGACTATGATGGAATTGTACTTATTATGGAATCATAGAGTTGGAAGAGTTCGGCCATCATAGAGTTATGGTGATGGAATCATATTATTATTATTATTATTATTATTATTATTATTATTATTATTGACTATGATGGAATTGTACTTCTTATGGAATCATAGAGTTGGAAGAGTTCGGCCATCATAGAGTTATGATGATGGAATCATATTATTATTATTATTATTATTACTATTATTATTATTATTATTATTATTAAGTGACTATGATGGAATTGTACTTATTATGGAATCATAGAGTTGGAAGAGTTCGGCCATCATAGAGTTATGGTGATGGAATCATATTATTATTATTATTATTATTATTATTATTATTATGTGACTATGATGGAATTGTACTTATTATGGAATCATAGAGTTGGAAGAGTTCGGCCATCATAGAGTTATGGTGATGGAATCATATTATTATTATTATTATTATTATTATTATTATTATTAAGTGACTATGATGGAATTGTACTTCTTATGGAATTATAGAGTTGGAAGAGTTGGGCCATCATAGAGTTATTATGATGGAATCATAATATTATTATTATTATCATTATTATTATTAAGTTATTATGATGGAATTGTACTTATTATGGAATCATAGAGTTGGAAGAGTTGGGCCATCATAGAGTTATTACGATGGAATCATATTATTATTATTATTATTATTAAGTTATTATGATGGAATTGTACTCATTATGGAATCATAGAGTTGGGCCATCCAGTCCAACCCCATTCTGCCAAGAAGCAGGAAAATTGCATTCAAAGCACCCCCGACAGATGGCTACCCAGCCTCTGCTTAAGGTAAAGGTAAAGATAGTCCCCTGACATTAAGTCCAGTCAAGTCTGACTCTGGGTGTGGTGCTCATCTCCATTTCTAAGCCGAAGAGCCAGCGTTGTCCGTAGACACCTCCAAGGTAATATGGCCGGCATGACTGCATGGAGCGCTGTTACCTTCCCGCCGGAGCGGTACCTATTGATCTACTTACATCTGCATGTTTTCGAACTGCTACGTTGGCAGAAGCTAGGGCTGACAGCGGAAGCTCAGGCCGCTCCCTGCAATCAAACCTGTGACCTTTTGATCAACAAGCTCAGCAGCTCAGTGCTTTAACCCACTCCCCCACCGGGGGCTCCTCTGCTTAAAAGCCTCCAAAGAAGGAGCCTCCACCACACTCCGGGGCAGAGAGTTCCACTGCTGAACGGCTCTCACAGTCCAGAAGTTCTTCCTAATGTTCAGATGGAATATCCTTTCTTGTAGTTTGAAGCCATTGTTCCATTGTGTCCAGAAAACAAGCTTGCTCCCTCCTCCCTAGGACTTCCTCTCACATATTTATACATGAGTATCATGTCTCCTCTCAGTCTTCTCTTCTTCAGGCTGAACATACCCGGTTCTTTAAGCCGCTCCTCATAGGGCTTGTTTTCCAGAGCCTATGCAGAGACAACACACATCTGAGCCTTGATATCCCTCTTCTTCTGCAATACTGTTACAGGGACAGCTAGAGGAGAGATTTTGGAAACCAGAGTGCGTGCAGCAGTTATTTCTGGGTTTCAGACCCCTTTGTAGTACAGAGAATGCAGTTTGGGAAGGCTATATGTTTGCTCTAGTAATGATTTAGAGAAAATCGCAGAGATCGAGAGCTTTATGTTCCTTCCATTTTATGTAGCTGTTTGCATAAACTGAATAGGTTAGTAGGTTTCCCCACTAAGATCTGTTTTCATAATATCACTTTAGGTCCATGCATACTGTAGACTTTTGTCCTTCTTTATTATTGTCCTTCTTTAGGGGTCTTTTCAAATATATGTTACGATATCTCTGTGAGTGTGTGAATCATCTATATCTATGGCTGGATGGCTCTTTGTCAGGAGGGCTTTTATTACGTTTTCTTGCCCTGGTGAAGGGAGTTGGACTGGATGGCCTTAAGTATTTTCTGTTGGTCATGGGGGTTCTGTGTGGGAAGTTTGCCCCAATTCTGTCGTTGGTGGGGTTCAGAATGATTGTAGGTGAACTATAAATCCCAGTAACTACAACTCCCAAATGTCAAGGTCTATTTCCCCAAAACTCCATCTGTGTTCATATTTGGGCATATTGAGTATTCATGCCAAGTTTGGTCCAGATCCATCATTGTTTGAGTCCAGTGCTCTCTGGAGGTAAGTGAACTACAACTCCCAAACTCAAGGTCAATGCCCACCAAACCCTTCCAGTATTTTCTGTTGGTCATGGGAGTTCTTTGTGCCAAGTTTGGTTCAATTCCATCGTTGGTGGAGTTCAGAATGCTCTTTGAGTGAGGTGAACTATAAATCCCAGCAACTACAACTCCCAAATGACAAAATCAAATTTTTGAGTGATGGTTACTACTTGGGTTAGTAGGTGCCTTGTGGCCAAATTTGGTGGCAATTTGCCCAGTGGTTTTTGAGTTATGTTAATCCCACAAATGAATGTTACATTTTTATTTAGATTAGATGGATGGGATGGGATGGGAAGGGAAGGGAAGGGAAGGGAAGGGAAGGGAAGGGAAGGGAAGGGAAGGGAGGGGAAGGGAAGGGGAAGGGAGAAGGGAAGGGAAGGGAAAGGAAGAAGAGGGGAGGGAAGGGGGAGGGAGGGAGGGAAGGGAAAGGAGGGAAGGGAAGGGAAGGGAAAGGAAGGAAGGGAGAAAGGAAGGAAGGAAAGCAAGAAAGAAGGAAAGGAAAGGAAAGGAAGGAGAAAGGAGGGAAAGGAAAAGAAAGAAAGAAAAGAAAAGAAAAGGAGGAGAGGAAGGAAGGAAGGAAGGAAGGAGGAAGGAAGAGAAGGAAAAAAGGGAAGGAAGGAAGGAAGGAAGGAAGGAAGGAAGAAGGAAGGAAGGAAGAAGGAAGAGGAAGGAGAAGGAAGGAGGAGGGAAGAGGAAGGGAGAGAGGAAGGAAAGGAAGGAAAGAAAGAAAGGAAAGAAGGAAGAAGGAAAGAAGAAGGGAAGGAAAGGAAGGAAAAAAGAAAGAAAAAAAAGGAAGGAAGAAGAAAGGAAGAAAGAAGGAAAGAAAGAAAGGGGAAAGAAAGGAAGGGAAAGGAAGGAGGGGAGGAAAGGGAAAGAAGGAAGGGAAGGGAAGGAAGGAAGGAAGGAAGGAAGGAAGGAAGGAAGGAAGGAAGGAAGGAAGGAAGGAAGGAAGGAAGGAAGGAAGGAAGGAAGGAAGGAAGGAAGGAAGGAAGGAAGGAAAAGAAAGAGGAGCAGAAGACCAAGGGGTGCAGTTTCCGAAGTGTCCACTGGGGGCGGCCAAGGCCAAGACAGGGCATTCGGGCACTGTATTGGGACACAACCTGAACACCTTCCATTAATGTTTATTTCCAAAATTGATTTATAAGGCAATGGCATACATTGACCAGGAGAACCATTTTAAGCCCCAAGGCTATGTGAACCAAATCAGAACTAATGGAATATGTGGTCAAAATGTTTAAACAGCTATCCCAATTAGAACAGTAGCAATGCTGTGTTTGCCCCGGACGCGCGTGCGCCGTCGGGTGTTGCTGACCTCTCCAAAATGGCCGAAATAGACTCCCAAGCTAGAGACGTGACCCCGCCTCTGTTTGGCCCCATGCCGTATTGTGATTGGCGGAGCGAGCTCCTCCTCCGGCGATGATTGGCTGCCGGGGCCGAACCACGGCGTGTGGCGGAAGCGGGCGAAGTGGCGGGGCAGGCGGAGCGCAGGGCCGTGATTGGCGGCGAGGAGAGGAGAGGCGGCCTGGCTGGGGATGTGGAGAGCGGGGATGGCTGCCGGCGAAGGCCTGGGAGCGGCGCTCAGGACGGTCCGGGAGCAAGTGCAGCAGGCGGCGGCCCGGAGGCCTCAGGTGCCCGGGAAGGAGGGAGGGAGACCGGGGAGAGGGGCCAGGAAAGGCCGGGGATTGGCCTTAAAGGGTAGGCCCGGCCTGGTCCTTTCTGCCAATCATCCGCATCAACAATGCCTTTCATACCCAGTCCAGCCTTCTTCTGCCAGGCACAATCAAAGCCCTCCCGACAGATGGCCAGCCAGCCTCTGATTAAAAACAGACTCCCAGGCAGCACATCGCACTCTCAAACAGCCTTATGTATGTGTTGTGTTGTTGTCCAAGGCCTTCATGGCCGGAATCACTGAGTTGCTGTGTGTGTTTCAGGCTGTGTGGCCATGTAGCATTCTCTCCTGACGTTTCGCCTGCATCTGTGGCTAATGGCATCTTCACAGGTTCTGTTGGCAGTAGATAACTAGACTGTGTGTGTATATATATATATACACACACACACACAGGAATCACTGAGTTGCTGTGAGTTTTTCAGACTGTGTGGCCATGTAGCTTTCTCTCCTGACATTTCGCCTGCATCTGTGGCTAATGGCATCTTCAGAGGTTCTGTTGGCAGTGAGATAAGTGGAGTGTGTGTATATATATATATATACACACACACACACAGGAATCACTGAGTTGCTGTGAGTTTTTCAGGCTGTGTGGCCATGTAGCATTCTCTCCTGACATTTCGCCTGCATCTGTGGCTAATGGCATCTTCAGAGGTTCTAAGTGGAGTGTGTGTGTATATATATATATATATATATATATATATACACACACACACACAGGAATCACTGAGTTGCTGTGGGTTTTTCAGGCTGTGTGGCCATGTAGCATTCTATCCTGACGTTTCTCCTGCATCTGTGGCTAATGGCATCTTCAGAATATTCCACTCTCAAACAGCCTTATGTATGTGTGTTGTTGGTTGTCGAAGGCCTTCATGGCCGGAATCACTGAGTTGCTGTGAGTTTTCCAGGCTGTGTGGCCATGTATCATTCTCTCCTGACGTTTCGCCTACATCTGTGGCTAATGGCATCTTCAGAGGTTCTGTTGGCAGTGAGATAAGTGGAGTGTGTGTGTGTGTATATATATATATATACACACACAGGAATCACTGAGTTGCTGTGAGTCTTTCAGGCTGTGTGGCCATATAGCATTCTCTCCTGACGTTTCGCCTTCATCTGTGGCTAATGGTATCTTCTGAGGTTCTGTTGGCAGTGAGATAAGTGGAGAGTGTGTGTGTTGTATACACAAACACACACACACACACACACACAGGAATCACTGAGTTGTGAGTTTTTCAGGCTGTGTGGCCATGTAGCATTTTCTCCTGACGTTTCTCCTGCATCTATGGCTGATGGCATATTCAGAGGTTCTGTTGGCAGTAAGAGAAGTGGAGTGTGTGTGTGTGTGTATACACACACAGAGGAATCACTGAGTTGTTGTGAGTTTTTCAGGCTGTGTGGCCATGTAGCATTCTCTCCTGATGTTTCGCCTGCATCTGTGGCTAATGGCATCTTCTGAGGTTCTGTTGGCAATGAGGTAAGTGGAGTGTGTGTGTGTATAGACACACACACACAAACACGCGGGTTGAATGAATAGTAATGCCTCTTCCTTCGTAACTCCTCAACAGATAATAATAATAATAATAATAATAATACTTTATTTTCTGTATATACTCAAGTATAAGCCTAGTTTTTCAGCCCTTTTTTAGGCTGAAAAAGTCCCCCTCGGCTTATATTCGAGTCAAGGTTATTTATTATTTTACCCTGTTAGAAATACATAATAAAGGTATTGTTATTATTATTGTTGTTGTTGTTATTACATTGATCATTCTACTTTATTATTGTTTTTTATTCCATTTATTATTTTACTCTATTATTACTGTCATTATTACATTTCCATTATTTTACTCTATTATTATTATTAGTATTATTACATTTGTTATTTTACTTTATTTTTATTGGAAGGATATGCAAGCACATTGACATTGGAGAAGGTTAAAATAATGGTTTAATCAGAGTACCACAGTCTTACCTTACATTATAATTTTATGTAAATATTCAAAACATTTAACCTACTGATGCCTCAATTAATGTAATTGTATTGTATCTATTTTTATTTTGAAACTAGCCGTCCCCTGCCACGCGTTGCTGCGGCCCTCATGGGGGTTTCTATGTGGGAGGTTTGGCCCAATTCTATCATTGGTGGGGTTCAGAATGCTCTGTCATTGTAGGTGAACTATAAATCCCAGCAACTACAACTCCCAAATGTCAAGGTCTATTTTCCCCAAACTCCATCTGTGTTCATATTTGGGCATATGGAGTATTTATGCCAAGTTTGATCCAGATCTGGATGGCATTAAGTATTTTCTGTTGACCATGTCGTTTGTGAGGTTCAGAATGCTCTTTGATTATAGGTGAACTGTGAATCCCAGTGACTACAACTCCCAAATGTCAAGTTTCTATTTTCCCCAAACTCCACCAGTGTTCACATTTGGGCATATGGAGTATTCGTGCCGAGTTTGGTCCAGATCCATCATTGTTTGAGTCCACAGTCATCTCTGGATGTAGGTGAACTACAACTCCAAAACCAAAGGACACTGCCCACTAAACCCTTCCAGTATTTTCTGGTGGTCATGGGAGAACTGTGTGCCTAGTTTGGTTCAATTCTATCATTGGTGGGGTTCAGAATGCTCTCTGATTGTAGGTTAACTATAAATCCCAGCAACTACAACTCCCAAATGACAAAATCAATTTTTTGAGTGAAGGACATACATCTCAACATCTTTAAACTTTAAACTTGCTTGCCCAACGACGCACAGTACTCACATCAACACAATCACCATAAACATCTTGCATTCTTTGATGAATCTCCTTTGGGGTGACACCTTCTGCTGTCAAGAATTCAATGACTGCACGTTGCTTAAGTCGCATTGACCGACCGTCTGTGCAGGGTTCCACACTTGGCACTTTAATAACACAACCGTTCAATGCTAAGGCTTCCCGCCAAAATGGAACTGTAGAGGAGAGTCTACTGAACAAGCAAGTACCTGCCGCATACCAGTCCTGCTATCTCTTGAGGAGTTACAAAGGTGGAGGCATTACTTTTCATTCAACTCTTGTACCTGTGGAATAATGTCCAGAGAAAGAACTCCAGACAAGAATCTGAGCCGGCTAACACCTCCCAACAAAGGATTCCCCCAGGCAGGAACCAACCCTGATTTTAAAGTTTTTTAAATACTGGGAGCCAGATTTTGGTCATTTCCTGGTTTCCTCCTTTCTGTTCAAATTGTCTACATGCGTGTGTATTTCAATAGTGAGCTAACACCTCCCAACAAAGGATTCCTCCAGGCAGGAATCAGCTAGGCTTTGAAGCTGTAAGGCCATTCAGTACCAATCAAGGTGAATAACTTCAACATTCACCCTTGCCTCCAACAGACAAGAGTTCTTTCTCCCTCCCTGGACCTTCCACACCCAGTCTTTGAAGTTGCAATTTATTTATTTATTATTTATTTATTTACAGCTTTTGTCTTCCGCCCTTCTCACCCCGCAGGGGACTCAGGGCGGATTACAGTGTACACATATATGGCAAACATTCAATGCCAATTTTTGACATACAAACATATACAGACATACACAGAGGCTGTTTAAGGTTTTCTGGCCGCCAAGGGAGCTGTCGCTTTCATCGTCCATCTGCGACGCTGATGAAGCACTTCCGCATTCCCCGCATGCTTCCCTGCTGGAATGCTTTGCTGGAGTCTTCTTTATGGCCTCATAAATCAGTTAATTTAGGCTCCCCACACTTTAAGGTGGTACCTTATTTTCCTACTTGACAGATGCAACTGTCTTTCGGGTTGCAAAGGTCGACAACAGGCTATACACAATTGGTTGGAAACCACTTCAACCCAGGCTGACTTCAAACTCATGACCTTTTTGGTCAGAGTGATCTTAATGCAGCTGACCCCACAATCCTGGTGCAAGGCCATTCAATGCTAATCAAGGTGGCCAATTACAACATTCACACCTGCTTCCAACAGACAAGAGTTCTTTCTCCCACACTGAACATCATTCCACAGATATATAAACCTCACTTGCCTAGTTTACAACAGACCTCACAACCTCTGAGGATGTCTGCCACAGATGTGGGCAAAATGTCAGGAGAGAATGCTTCAGGGACATGACCTTACAACCCGAAAAACACGCAGCAACCCAGCCTTCTGTATGCCTTCTAAATCAGGCTGGATGTCCATGTGTGAACTCTTCCACTTCTTATCTCCCTTCTCCCAATCCAGAGCTTGCCTGCCATCCAGCCCCGCCTGGTTGCTGTCAGCAAAACAAAGCCTGCCGAGATGGTCATTGAGGCCTACAATCATGGACAGCGCAGTTTTGGAGAAAACTACGTGAGTATGCTGCCTTTCTTCCCCTTGTGTTTGGAGCCTCAGGGCCGGACAGAAGTGTGGAATTGCTTCTGACATTGGCAGAGATCCTTCAGCACTTCTTGTGTTGCCAATTAACGCTGAACAGGATCTTTGGCTCATCCCTGGCCCATTCATTGTAATGAGTCCCAATCAAAAGTTGACAGTTAAACAAAAGTTAAATCCAATGTCTTGATTCCCGTAGGTCCAAGAATTACTGGAAAAAGCATCAGACTCAAGAGTAAGTACATATGGATTTAAATCTTAACTTTTAAAGTTATTAAATGCATTGTAAATTATTTAGATTTGCATTTTTAAAATTTTGATATACCTTTTTGGACTACGATTTAGATATAAATCGGGAGCCCCATCGGTGGTGCAATGGGTTAAACCCTTGTGCCGACAGGACTTAAATCCGACAGGTCAGAGGTTCGAATCCAGGGAGAGCATGGATGAGCTCCCTCTGTCAGCTCCAGCTCCCCATGCGGGGACATGAGAGAGGCCTCCCACAAGGATGGTAAAACATCAAAACATTCGGACATCCCCTGGGCAACGTCCTTGCAGACAGCCAATTCTCTCACACCAGAAGCGACTTGCAGTTTCTCAAGTTGCTCCTAATACAAAAAAAATACTATTTTTTATTATTTTGATATTTTTTTAAAATACTGCATATAGGTCTTCTACTGTGGGATATAAATGTTCTAATAAATAAAATGCACTGCATATTCTTGAATATAACCCCTTTTGTCAACATGATATGTATAAACTATATTATACTATACTACCAGGAATTATTATTATTATTATTATTTAGAATCATAGAATCAAAGAGTTGGAAGAGACCTCATGGGCCATACAGTCCAACCCCATTCTGCCAAGAAGTAGGAATATTGCATTCAAATCACCCCTGACAGATGGCCATCCAGCCTCTGTTTAAAAGCTTCCAAAGAAGGAACCTCCACCACACTCCGGGGCAGAGAGTTCCACTGCTGAACGGCTCTCACAGTCAGGAAATTCTTCCTCATGTTATATGCTGCCCTTCTCACTCCAAAGGAGATTCAGAGCTCAGTCCTGAGTTAGGACTTAGGAATCTTCTTCAGTTCACTTATGAACAGGATAATTCCAGTGAGTTATGTACCTAACTGCCTCAGTTACATTTGTACTTACATTACTGTTGCCTTATCACATTTTTATTCCAACTAGCTCGGGGACCCAGAGGTGCCCGAGTTATTCAAAGAATGTTTTGGGAAGTTTGCTAATATCACTTAGGTAATTTGTAATGTAATTTTAAGGGAAAAGCCAGTCCTTGATTTTGTTTTTTTATTAATGCTTCCATTAGAAAATGCATAAGGATGTAGGTGAACTACAATTTCCATTATCATGGGTCAATCCTTCCCAAACCTTGCCAGTATTCAAAGTTGGCCATGTTGGATCTGTGTGCCAAGTTTGGTCCTGATATGTTGTTGGCTGCGTTCAGTGTTCTCTGGATAAGTGTGAACTACAACTCCCAGATTCCCAGGGAAACAACACCCAAACCTTGCCAGTATTCACAGTTGGCCATGTTGGTTCTGTGTGCCAAGTTTGGCCCAGATCCGTCATCGGCTTGGTTTAGTGTTCTCTGGAGGCAGGTGAACTACAACTCTCAGATTCCCATGGCATTCACCCCCAGCACCAACTGTCACTCTGGGCCAGGGACAGTTCCACCTTGTCTCCTGTGCTATTCTTATAATATAATATAATATAATATAATCATAGAATCATAGAATCAAAGAGTTGGAAGAGACCTCATGGGCCATCCAGTCCAACCCCCTGCCAAGAAGCAGGAATATTGCATTCAAATCACCCCTGACAGATGGCCATCCAGCCTCTGTTTAATATATTGTATATGCATATAATATTTATAATATTATAATGTAATGCAATATAATAATAATAGTAATAATAATAATTATATAATTATATATTTATATTACATGTAATATTACTAATAATATTACGATATAGTGGTATGGTGCAATATAGCAATGTTTAATGTTGATATTGCACTAAGCTAATGATATAATATATTGTATGTAATATATACTTTGTAAGCCACTCTGAGTCCCCTTCGGGGTGAGAAGGGTGGCATATAAATGTCACAAATAAATACATAAATAAACAAATAAACCTTACCAGGATTCACAGTTGGCCATGTTGGGTCTGGGTGCCTAGTTTGGTCCAGATCCACCGTCGGCCGTGTTCATTGCTCTCTGGACACGGGTGAACTACAACTCCCAGATTCCCAGGGCAACAACCCCCAAAGCCTGCCAGTATGCACAGTTAACCATGATAGGTCTGGGTGCCAAGTTTGGTCCAGATCCATCGTCAGCTGGGTTCAGTGCTCTCTGAAGAAAAATGAACTACAACTCCCAGATTTCCAGAACAATCACCTTCAAACCCTGCCAGTATTCACAGTTGGCCATGTTGGGTCTGTGTGGTAAATTTGGTCCAGATCTGGATTATATACAGCTGTGTGGAAGGGACCTCAGTTAGATTCTTAATAAATCGTTTAGTTTTTGCCGGACTTTTCCAACTACACCTTTTTCTAGTTGTACATTTTGTACTAATCATGCATTAAATAAACCTGTTACAAATTCCTAAATATACATATATAGGGTATCTGTCCGTTGAAAACGCACTATGAATGACATTGGGTGACATTTGTACTTACCATGCACTTAAAAAACCTGATAGAAATTCCTAAATAGATGTATATAGGGCAGTGGTTCTCAACCTTCCTAAAGCCGTGACCCTTTAATACAGTTCCTCATGTTGTGATGACCCCCAACCATAAAATTATTTTCATTGCTACTTCATAACTAATTTTGCTACTGTTATGAATTGTAATGTAAATATCTCATATACAGGATGTATTTTCATTCACTGGACCAATTTAACACAAATACCGAATATGCCCACATTTGAATACTGGGGGTGGGAGGGATTGGGATTGGCATTTTGGAGTTGCAGTTGCTGGGATTTATAGTTCACCCACAATCAAAGAGCATTCTGAACTCCACCAATGATGGAATTGAAGGAAACATGAGACACGGAACTCCCATGAACAACAGAAAATACTGGAAGGGTTTGGTGGGCATTGTCCTTGAGTTTTGGAGTTGTAGTTCACCTACATCCAGGGAGCACTGTGGACTCAAACAATGATACCTCTAGACCAAACTTGACACAAATACAAAAAACAAATTGAAATTGAATCCAGACAAGACAGAGGTACTCCTGGTCAGTCGCAAGGCCGAACAGGGCATAGGGTTACAGCCTGTGTTGGATGGGGCCGCACTCCCCCTGAAGACGCAGGTTCGCAGCTTGGGTGTGACCCTGGACTCATCGCTGAGCCTGGAACCCCAGGTTTCGGCGGTGACCAGGGGAGCATTCGCACAATTAAAACTTGTGCGCCAGCTGCGCCCGTACCTTGGGAAGTCTGACTTGGCCACGGTAGTCCACGCTCTGGTTACATCCCGTATAGACTACTGCAACGCTCTCTACGTGGGGTTGCCTTTGAAGACAGCTCGGAAGCTCCAACTAGTCCAACGCTCGGCAGCCATGATTTTAACAGGAGCGGAGCGCAGGGAGCATACAACCCCCCTGTTGCGCCAACTCCACTGGCTACCGATCTGCTACCGGGCTCAATTCAAAGTGCTGGCGTTGGCCTTTAAAGCCCTAAACGGTTCCGGCCCAAGCTACCTATCCGACCGCATCTCTGCCTATGAACCCACCAGGACTTTGAGATCTTCCGGGGAGACCCTGCTCTCGATCCCGCCTGCTTCTCAAGCTCGGCTGGCGGGGACGAGAGATAGGGCCTTCTCGGTGGTGGCCCCTCGGCTGTGGAACGCCCTTCCTACGGACATTAGACTAGCACCATCTCTAATGGTATTCCGCAAAAAGGTGAAGACCTGGATGTTTGTGCAGGCGTTTGAGTAATTTAGTGCAATCTGGTAATGGAACATAGGAATGGAACAATGGACGACGAACCTGGACTACGCTTGGATGATGAGAAGATTGGGTACGGTTGTTTTTTGTAATAATTGTGCATTGTAATGGCTTATTGGTAATTTATGGATAATGTGTTAAGTCAATTGTTATATGTTGTATGGAACCACTGCTGTTTCTACTGTTTTTACTGTTTGTGAACCGCCGTGAGTCGCCTTCGGGCTTGAGATACAGCGGTATATAAGCAAAGTAAATAAATAAATAAATAAATAAATACTCAATATGCCCAAATGTGGACACTGGTGGAGTTTGGGGAAAATAGACCTTGACATTTGAAGATTGTAGTTGCTGGGATTTATAGTTCCCCTAAAACCAAAGAGCATTCTGAACTACCAACGATAGAATTCAGCAAAACTTCCCACACAGAACCCCCATGATCAACAGAAAATACTGTGTTTTCTGATGGTCTTTGGCGACCCCTCTGACACCCCCTCGTGAGAAACGCTGATATAGGGTTTCTGTCTGTTGAAAATGCACCATGAATGGCATTGGATGCTAACATTTATTCAATCTTGATTTTTCTCCCCAGATTCTCTCTTCGTGTCCAGATATCAAGTGGCATTTCATAGGCCACCTGCAGAAGAACAATGTCAACAAACTGATAGGTAAACACAACTTGGTTTTGATGCTGATTTGGGGGTTTAAAAGATGTACTCTTCATGTGCTGCATTAAGGAAATTTAAATGTTGTGAATAAAGTTTTGATGCACAGCATAAGACATAGGAAGTGATTGGGTTCCTATGTCTGTGGCGGGATGGGGCGCAACTGGCTGGGAGTCAGCTGCATTAAGATCACTACTGACCAAAACGTCATGAGTTTGAAGCCAGCCCAGGTTGGAGTGAGCTTCTGACCAATTTGTGTAGCTTGTTGTCGACCTTTGCAGTCTGAAAGGCAATTGCATCTGTTGTCGTGGCTCAGTCTGAGACTGAACTGTCTGAGCATTTTGGGCCTGCTGGGCCTTCTGAGCCTGACTTTCCGCAGGATGACGATGAGGCTGATGGGTTACAGATTTGTGTACATGTTCCAGACGGGGCTGATAGTGTGGCTTCTGAAGAGGAAACAGCAAGTCTGTTCCCCGGTGAAAGGAATGTGCCTTTAGATAAAGATAGTGAAATTCCACAACTGCAGGTGAAGACTCCTTTTGGTCCCCAGGGTGATCAGGCCCAGCTGGGCCAAGATAATGAGTTGTCCAGCCTTAACAATAATAGTGAATTAATGAGTAGACAGGATCGTTTACAATTAAGGGTTCGCAGAAGCTCACGCCTTGCAAGCAAGCGTGAAGCCAAAGGTCAACGCAGTGCTTTCATGTCAGGGAAACTTATTTAATGATGTAGCCGACAGGCATTTCCTGTCAGTGCAATGTTGCTCTTTCCCTGTTAACTTCTGAGGAATTACCTTGGCTTTTGAGGAACGCTTCTGGCTTCTCTGAGACTTGGATTTTGATTCTGATGTTACCTGTCTACCATGGACTCTTGTTTGACCATTGCTAAGGGATTATGCTTCATGTTATTTGCTTTTGGATCTTGGGAACTTTGCATTTAAGATTCTGTTTTGCCTATTGAACTTTTGCATCTTTATTTTTGATTTTGCTTTTTCTCAATAAACTACAAAACCTACAGCCTTGGTGTCTTGTGCAAGGTGAAAACTACCCTGAGTTGCGACATCTGTCAAGTAGGAAATTTAGGTACCACTTATGTGGAGAGGCTAATTTAACTAATTTACGAGGCCATAAAAATCTCCAGCAAGCATGCAAAGAATGAGGAAGTACTTCATCAGTGTAACAAATAGACGGTGAAGCGACAGGTCCCCTGGTGGCCAGAATATCTTCAAGAAAAGCTGGAATGTTAAATCGCCTCTGAGTGTCTGTCTATATATGTTTTGTGTCTATGGCAGTGAATATTTGCCATGTATATGTACATTGTAATCCGCCCTAAGTCCCCTGCGGGGTGAGAAGGGCGGAATATAAATACTATAAATAAATAAATAGATAAATAAATAGATAAATAAATAATGGGTTGAGTTTTCACACAAGATTGCCTTATACGGGGTGAAAGGCAACCTCAAGACCACTCTTTACACAAGAGCAAGTTACCAGTTGTCTCCCTTCACCAATGTAAGATGGTTCTTGTTTGTTGGGTTCGTGTGCAAGCCAATCATTGCTCAAATTGCCTTTTTATGTCTTTAGGGGTGCCTAACCTATTCATGCTGGAAACAGTGGATTCCCTTAAACTGGCAGACAGAGTGAATGCTTCTTGGCAGAAGAAGGGCTGTTTGGAGAAGCTAAAAATCATGGTTCAAATAAACACTAGTGGAGAAGACAGTAAGTATACTGCCTCTGGCAATGCTACATAAAGGATATTGTGAAGGTTGAGTTTAGATACACTATGGCTTCCGCTGGGGAGATTTAGATGAATGAAGTCTCTCATGGGAACCACAAGGGCATCTAGAAAGTCCCCATGTTTGATGCCATCAGGGTAGAACCAGAGGAAGTGCTCATGTTAGTAGCAAAGGTTAAATAAATGAAATCAGTGCAAACATGTCATATACAAATAAACATGGCTTCTCTTTGAAAGGTAAACATGGCCTCCCTCCTGGAGAAACGGTGACGACGGTGGCACACATCCTCCAGAAGTGTCCTGGCCTGGAATTTGTGGGCCTGATGACCATTGGCAGCTTTGGGCATGACCTCAGTATGGGGCCCAATCCTGACTTCCAGGTACATCTGATGTGTCATAGGGAATAGGGATTATCCTGCATGAGGTTTGGCTTTTAAATAAAAAGGGCAGAGCTTAGCAGTATTTTTCCTCTCCTTCTCTAGATGTTAATATCGCTGCGTCAGGAGATGTGCGACAAACTCAACATCCCCATTGAAAAAGTTGAGCTCAGCATGGGGATGTCTACAGACTTCCAGCACGCAGTAAGTTGGCTTTGTTTTTGCCACTGTTTATTGTAGCAGCATTTTGCATTTGCTGTCTTTCCTATTTGACAGCCACTATTGGATTTATAATAAATACGTATTATACTTTTATGAATAATTGCAGTTTCTACAAGTGCTGTATGTGCAGATCCCCCCCCCCTTTTTTTTTGGTGGGGAAAGGATACGTTGGGGGAGTTCACTGCTATTCCAGTTTGTTTATTTATTTATTTATTTGTTTGTTTGTTTACGGCATTTATATGCTGCCCTTCTCACAATATCAGTATTATATATTATATATTACTATATTGTACTATACCATTATATTGTAATATTATTAGTAATATTACATGTAATATAAAATATATAATTTTAATATATTATTATTATTAGTATATCATATTACATTATAATATTATAAATATTATATGTATATACAATATATTGCATTAGATATTATATTACTAGCTGTACCCGCCATGCATTGCTGTGGCCAACCTTCCCTCCCTCTTTCTCTCCTATCTTCCCTCTTTTTCTTTCCCTTCTTCTTTCTTCCTTCTCTACCTGTTTCTTTTCTCGCTTCCTTTGCTTTTTGGTTCCATCCTTCCTTGTCTCTTCCCTCCCTCCCTCTTTGTCCCCTTCCTTCCTTCCTTCCTTCCTTCCTTCCTTCCTTCCTTCCTTCCTTCCTTCCTTCCTTCCTTCCTTCCCCCTTTTTGTGTATGTGTTTTGTGTGTGTATATATTTCTGTATATATTTCTGTATATATTTGTGAATATGTGTATATATGTGTGTTTGTGTACATATAGGGCTTTGCGCATGTGTTTTTTTTTGCTTTTTAAGTCTCTTTTGCTGTGTTTTTCAGTGTTTTTATGAGTGGTGGTCACTCGTTGGCCTAATAGATGTATTGTGTCCAAATTTTGTGTCAATTCATCCAGTGGCTTTGAGTTATGTTAATCCCACAAACAAACACTAGATTTTATATAAATATTATATTATATTATAAGCATAGGACAGGAGACAGAGTGGCCGTTGGTGCTGGGTGGCTGTGGGTGGAGGGGTCCCCAACTGATGACATATGCAGGAGAAAAGTTGGAACTGTCCCCTGGCCCCCTCTCTCTTCATTCTGGCCCAGAGCGGCAGTTGGTGCCGGGGGAGGGGTGTCCCCCAACTGATGACATATGCAGGAGACAAGATGGAACTGTCCCCTGCCCCCCCCCCCCCCAAAATTCACTCTGGCCCAGAGTGGCAGTTCCGATAGATGCGCTCTTTCAGACCCAAATTCCTACCCAAGTGTGAATACTGTGTGATCCAAAGTATTATCTGTTTTCATTGTCCAAAATAGAATATATAATACTCATATTATGAATGATGTATTAGTACTATGCTAATAATATACAGGGTGAGGCAGCATAACTTCCAATTTTCAAAACTCAATAAAACCCATTGTATGAATCAGAATTTTTTAAAAAAATTATAATGTAGGCGCATACCTAAAGTTTTGTTTTACGTAGTTTTGAAGATCAAATTAGGTAGGTGACGTCCCCCATTCTCCATACACTGAGTAAACCGATTTCTGGTGTTTGTCATGACTCTTGCCATCATAGCAGGCGTTATGTTGGCAATTTCTTTCTAGATGTTGGTCTTCAAATCCTGTAGGGTCCTTGGACAGTTCACATAAACACATGATTTCAAAAAACCCCATAGAAAAAAATCACAAGGGGGCAAATCTGGAGAGCGGGCCGGCCACTCCAAATCCGCTCAAAAAGTATTCTATTCTGGTCCTATTCTGGAAAGGCACATCAGATCAGCCAGGTCTTCAAACTCTTCCTAAAGACTGCCAACGTAGGGGCTTGTCTGATGTCTTTGGAGAGGGTGTTCCAAAGTCGGGAGGCTACCACAGAAAAGGCCCTGTCTCTCGTCTCCACCAAGCGCGCTTGCGACGCAGGTGGAATCGCGAGCAGGGCCTCACCGGATGAGCGAAGAGAACGCGTGGGTTCATAAACGGAGATGCAGTCATGCAGGTAGGCAGGTCCCAAACCGTTTAGGGCTTTGTAGGTGAGCACATGCTGCTTCATCCTGTAGTATGTTGTATGTACATACAACTTATAAGCCGCTCTGAGTCCCCTTCGGGGTGAGAAGGGCGGCATATAAATGTCGTAAATAAATATTGGGAGCAGTGCAGTCTGCACTAATGCAAGAGAAACTGGTCCCATGCCTGTTCTTTTGCTTTTCCTTCCGCACAGATTGAAGTCGGATCCACCAATGTTCGGATTGGGAGCACCATCTTCGGAGAACGCGATTATTCCAACAAACCTTCCAGCGACAAAGCCCCAAGAGAGATTAAAGACAAACGGGAGAATTTGGCGGTGCAAGAGCATTAGCTGAGGAGGCCCAAGGGATTTCCACAGCTGAGGGAATCCGGTCTGGTGGACCTTACTATGCACTTGACTTTCCCTTTGCGCTGACAGCTGTGGGGCACTATCAGGTAACCAGAGAGTGTCGCAGGCACTCCGTCACCTGTAACTTTATTCCTGTGTCCATAGAGATTGGATTTTTTTTCTTAAACAAACCAGCAAATCAACACCTGTGATTGACAAGTGACTTTTGGTACCTTAGCTACCATGACTTTAGATAGCTATACCAGATAACCAGCTGACTTAAGCCCTACTAGGTTTGGACAGGAAACATTTTCAGCCATAACCATTGCACATTGATTACTAACAGGAGAAATGTTTAGTTTTTTTATTGTTTTCTTCCACTTAGGCTAACCATCCCTCTTTGCAGGGATACCGTAAGATCATATCATATTTTTGTTTCCTTTCCCTGCTTTACAAACCCGACTCACCCACCTCCCAAGCAAATCGATGGTTGGAAGTGTCTGGCTCTGCCGCTGACGTGTTGTGTAATCTTGGCCAAGTCACTTACTTAACCATGCTGTGCCTGCATCCCCTCTCTGAGAAATGGGATTGACCTACCTCACGTGGCGAACCCAAAGGTTTGCCATGCATGGAAAGTTCTTTGAAATGCCTCCTTGTTACCATCAGAGGAAATGCAGTAACGATGGAGAAGGCCAGGCGTCATCTGATGCACACAACTGGGCATGTGTGAGAGAAATAGGGCACCGGGAGAGGCAGGTCTGCACATGGCATGTACTCAAAAGTATTGTCGCCCCATGTTACAAACCACCCCTTAAGTTGGAAAACAAAAACATCACCACCATCTTAAATGCAGGGTCCCACGTGGCAAAACCTAACCAGGAGCTGTGTCCCATCTGTACATATTGCTCTGTCACCTTTGAAAGAGATCCTGTTAAACCAGCCATGACTCTGCCTTTCTGAATATCTCATCCTCCTTCTGCAGCACCCCCCTCTCAGTGACAATGTTTACAGTGGAGTCTGTTTTGTATCTTAATATGTTGACAATCTACTTCTACTGCTGCTATAAATGACTTTAGGTCCCATAGAAATAGGCCTCCTCCCTTAGGCCCGCCTTCTCGCTTTTCCCCAGCGCAGAAAAAGCTTCCAGCATTGCGTGATTTTAGGTTCATCTAGGTAGCTCACTAAGGGAGAAACCATCCATCAGTGGTGTAGAATAGTATCATATATCCCAGGGTACTAGACAACTTTTTAGGCCTGGAAAATCATAAGAAAAGTTGGGGGTAATCTAGTATGCCAGATTTTTTTTTTTTGTCGTGTCAGGAGTAACTTGAGAAACTGCAAGTTGCTTCTGGTGTGAGAGAAATGGCTGTCTGCAAGGACGTTGCCCAGGGGACGCCCGGATGATTTTGATGTTTTTATCATCCTTGTGGGAGGTTTCTCTCATGTCCCCGCATGAGGAGCTGGAGCTGATAGGGGGAGCTCATCTGTCTCTCCCCGGATTCGAACCTGCGACCTGTCGGTCTTCAGTCCTGCCGGCACAAGGGTTCAACCCACTGCGCCACCGGGGGCTTCAGTGCCAGGTATAAAATTATGCCAGGTATAAAATTAACATAATAATAATGAAAAGAGAAGAATAAAATCCAACTACCTTAGGAAGGAGGGAGGAGGACTGGCAGGCCGTATTGCCAGGGGGGGTGATCGTCCATTCAGCTGTCCCCGCGGTCCCTGCCACTCACCTCTTCTGAAGGTCACTAGGCTCACCTTAGGTCCAAGGAAGCACCTCCATAGTTTCCTGACTCCTTCGTTGGGTTCAGCGAGCCATGCCCGTGCCTCAAAGCACTGGCAATCCTGGGCTTTAGCCCTCTTGGATGGAGGGTGCGCGCGTCGGCGGTGCAAGGAAGCCCTTGAGTCCGAAGACAGAAACTACAGCTTCCAGAATGCCTCAGCAAGCCCATTCCAGGCACGCTAGGCTCGCCTTAGGCCCAAGGAAGTGCCTCCATAGTTTCCTGACTCCTTCGTTGGGTTCAGCGAGCCATGGCCGTGCCTCAAACCACTGGCAATCCTGGGCTTTAGCCCTCTTGGATGGACGGTGCACGTATCGGCGGTGCAAAGAAGCCCCTTGAGTCCGAAGACAGAAACTACGACTCCCAGAATGCCTCAGCAACCCCATCCCAGGCACGCTAGGCTCACCTTAGGCCCAAGGAAGCTCCTCCATAGTTTCCTGACTCCTTCGTTGGGTTCAGCAAGCCATGGTCGTGCCTCAAAGCACTGGCAATCCTGGGCTTTAGCCCTCTTGGATGGAGGGTGCGTGCATCGGCGGTGCAAGGAAGACCTCGAGTCCGAAGACAGAAACTACAGCTCCCAGAATGCTTCAGCAACCCCATCCCAGGCACACAGCCGCCCAGGACTGCAGGCTTCCTTGCGCCTTCGGATGATAGTCGCTTGCTATTCCGCCGGCATTGACTCTCCCATGTCATCCATCCTGAGTCCCTCCATGCCGGAGGCATGTGAGGAAGAGGCAGAGAGCTTGGCGCTGGCCCCACCTCCACCTTTGGGCCGTACCTTCCTCTGCCTTCAGACTCGAGGGCTTCCTCGTGCCGCACACACCCTCCATTCAAGAAGGGTTCTTATACCCCGCTACCATCTCCCGCAGGACTCGGTGCGGCTTACAAGAGGCCAAGCCCAATAACATCTTGAAAACAATAACAGCAAAACAATAAATAACTCTTAAAAAGCAAAACAATACAATAATAACACAATACATTTTAAAAACATGAGGCAGGGCCAAATGTGAAAGTTTTAAAAGTTAAAAGCTGGGAAGTTCAAAGGGGATAGGAGGAATGTTTTGGGAAAGGTGGACGTGCAGACAGTTCTAAATCTCTCATAAAGTGCATTAAGGACATATTGCTTAAAATTCCTTATTCTGGGAAGGCAGAATAAGCTCCTAAAGACTGCCAGTGTTGGGGCCTGCCTGATGTCCTTGGGGAGGGAGTTCCAGAGTCGCGGGGCCACCACCAAGAAGGACCTGTCTCTTGTTCCCACCAATCGCGCTAGTGAAGGTGGGATTGTGAGCAGGGCCTCACCAGATGAACGAAGAGATCGTGTGGGTTCGTATACAGAAATGCGGTCACGAAGGTAGATGGGTCCCAAACCGTTTAGGGCTTTGTAGGTAAGCATCTACACCTTGAATTGGGCCGGGAAAATGAATGGCAGCCAATGGAGCTCCTTAAACAGGAGGGTTGACCTCTCCCTGTAAGGAGCACCAGTTAACAGCCTGGCTGCCGCCCGCTGTACCAACTGGAATTTCCGGGCCGTTTTCAAGGGCAGCCCCATGTAGAGTGCTAAAGCCCAGGATCGCCAGTGCAATAGCGATGGCGCTCTGGAGCTGCCTGAGAAGGCAGGAATCCTTGCTGCCTTGGTGCAACCAGCGGCAGCCCCTGCTTCAAGGCACGGCCATGGCTTGCTGAACCTATCAAAGAAGTCAGGAAACTACGGAGGAGCTGAATGCAAAGTCGTCTTAAACGGCGAGTATATCCCCAACTCTGTATTTTGAGATGAAATGTTGGGGGGTCGTCTTATAGCCCCAGTCGCCTTGTATTCCGGAATATACGGTAGTTCTCAGACTTTGATCTTCTAACATTTGGTGGGGATTCAGTGCTCAGAATCCCCAAACTATGAAATTTGCAGAAGTTCAAAATCCCCAAACATTTGGAGGGACAAAGGATGTGAACTATTGGTGTAGAAATCATGCGAGTTCAATCCCCATCATCTCTAGCAAAAAAAGCTCAGGTTATAGATGTTGGGAGTGATTTCTGCCATTTGGAAAGTTATACTGACCAATAGTTTGACTTGGCGAAAGGCAGCTTCCTTCATCCCTAGATGTGGGGGTCACTTTGTTTTTCACACCCCATGGATACAACTGCAGAGAACCAGGCGCGCCATCCACTTCTCGTGCCCCACTCCGTAGGTGCAGTGCTAAACACCGTCCCAGCTGCTCTCTCCCCTGAGCTCCACAGTGCAGTGTTTTCATTGTGTGTGAAGAATAAAACTAGTTGTGGATCCAAATACCGTACCATCTGTGCCAGTTACTAAGCTATTAAAAGATGTTATTTTTTTCCTGATCCTGGTGTTGTGACTTGCTTACAAAGGGAAAAAGCAGGGGCTGTGGGCTTGCACTTGGCTGGACAAATTGTCTCATTCTGTCAAAAGGACAAGAAGGTCTTGTTCCAGAGGGTTCCTGGCTGTCCAGCAAAAAGTACAAAGATGTTTTGAAAAGCTCTTAGATCACCCTCCTTGGGCTAGTCTTGGAGACTGATTTTGCAAAGGCAAATCATAGTAAGTCTTGCAACCACACCTGATTAACATGCTGAGAAGGTGGGTAAGGGGGCAGAGACACAGAGGTCCAAGGATGCTGCTGGTCAGCTATGGCCTTTGACAGAGTGCCCATAGACTGGGAGAAGGAATGTGGCATAGAAATGAAGGGGAAAGGGTGGATTTTCAGAAGTAGTTTGCACAGCAAAGAGTGGAAATAAATGTCAGTCTTACACATAAATCTTGAAATACATTTGTTTAGGATTATCTGCTTACCCATAGGTAAAGGTTACCCCTGACACGAAGTCTAGGCGTGTCCAAATCTGGGTAATAAAAAGTGTTGTTGTTGTTATAATAATATATTATAATATAATATAATAATATAATATATAATAATATTATATATAATATAATATATAATAATGTAATATAATAATAATGTTAAGGTTTCCCTTGACATCGTCAAGTCATGTCCAGCGCCCGGGGGGGGGGGGGGGGGGGGGGGGTGCTCATCTCCAATACTAAGCCAAAGAGCCGGCGTTGTCCGTAGACACCTCCAAGGTCATGTGGCCAGCATGACTGCATGGAGTGCAGTTACCTTCCCACAGAAGCAGTACCTATTGACCTACTCAGATTTGCATGTTTTTAAACTGCTAGGTTGGCAGAAGCTGGGGCTAACAGGGAGAGCTCAGCCTGCTCCCCAGATTCTAACCACCAACCTTTTGGTCAGCAAGTTCAGCAGCTCAGCAGTTTAACCTGTCACATCACCAAGGAACCCCTCTGATTACCCATATTTTGTTGAAAAAAGTTAAAAATCTATAAATTATTAAATATCAACATTAGTTAATGTTTCTTATATATGTTTCACTAGCCATCTTTATTTTTATTGATGTTTGGTAAAATTATGAATGGATCAAACTGGATGGTGAACAAACTGAGTTTGGCCTAGGTGCCCAAGTTTTGAGAAGCATATATGAATTGGGCACTAGGTATCAGAGGTACCTAGCTTTCTGAATAGTCACAGCCCAGGTTTTATTTCTGAAAGAGTTTGGCTTTGGGGATTTCTTGCCTAACAGAAGTGGGAGCAGAGCAATTAGCGAGAATAGAACATCAGGGTAGTGTGTGTCCCTTTTATAATTCAAACAAGAGCTCTGTTTTTCTTAAGGGTTCTTGAGATAATAATGTCTTGTTCCAACCTTTTTATGAGAACAGGCTTAAAAAAACTGAATTCACTGAGAACAAGTATTGAGCTAGTCTGGCCACCCTGTTTCGAAAGCAACATCATTTAAATGGCACGACCAAAGTCTTGGCCAATATACTAAATCCAAAGACTTCCCCTCACAATAACTTTAGCCATGTCCAACTCAGGTGTGGTACTCATCTCCATTTCTAAGCCATAGACACCTCTAAGGTCATGTGGCCAGCATGACTGTATGGAGCACCATTACCTTCCCGCAAAAGCAGTACCTATTGATCTACTCATACTTGCATGTTTTCAAACTGCTAGGTTGGCAGAAGCTGGACCTAACAGCAGGAGCTCACCCTGCTCCCTGGATTCAAACCACCAACCTTTTGGTCAGCAAGTTCAGCAGCTCAGCAGTTTAACCCACTGCACTACCACATTCTTCACACAAAATATACCAGTGGCTTAAAAATAGGTCTGCAGGGGGCTCCTGCATATTAGATTCTCAGGCTCTTAAAGACAGGATCATGCTCATACAAACATATCAGAGTGACTGTAAGGATACAGTTGGATGTAGTGACTAGGCTTGGGCAATCCATGGTTCTAAATGGTTCTAAAGTACTTACAAAACTAAAGTTCTGGTGATGAAAATTTCAAAACTCTAACAAAACTCTCAAAATTTCATTATAAATGGAGTTCCTAATTGGTTCTGTCATAAAAATCGCTAATAATGAAATAATAATTACATTTTGAAAGTTTTGTTAGAGTTCTGAAATTTTCACCACCAGAACTTTAGTTTTGTAAGTACTTTAGAACCACTTAGAACCATGGATTGCCCAAGCCTAGTAGTGACGTTAGAATCTGCAACATTTGTGTTGGTTGTTGGATCAGAAACCACACTTCTCCCACACCCATTTTCATTGACACTAAAGACACAAAATATCAGAATGGGTAAAACACTTCATTCAGGTATGTTCTTTTCGTTTAATTTACACAACCACTATCACAATATAAAATATACAAATCCCAACCATACAACTTAAAACAAATAACATAGCCTGCATGGAATGGCTGCTAATAGCAAAAGGCACTGTCATCTTGTCAGCAGAAAAATGCAGGCTATTAACCTTTGGTAATAATCACCCATGGTAAGCAATCGTGGGAGTTTCAGTCCAAAGTATATGGAGGAGGCTGAGCTGAGGAAGACTACATTATATTCTGATAATCCTATGCTTTGTTTTTCCATGTGAGAGAAACCCACAGGCATCAGCCAAATCTCCAGCCAAGAGAGTTCAAAACTGTTTGTGGTCCAGGTGTGCTGTTGATATAATTTCCCATCAGCCAAAGATGGATAATAGGAGCTGCATGCCAGATTCCTTTGTTTGCCCGATCCCTATTTTACACTGTCAAGACAACAGATGAGTGTCAGTGGGTATCACATTTTGAATTAATTATCAAAATGGCAATATGGTGATCTTTTAAGAAATGAACAATCACTCCACTCTACAGGAACCACAAAACCAAGGACAATTCATTTTCTCTCTCAACCCTATTTCCTTTTTAGGAACAGGGGAATGGAAGTGATTATTTTTTAAAGTTTACAGGTAAGAACCTTTGACGATGAGGCAAACATAACCCTCATGGTGAGCCATCTCGTAATTCAAATAAGTAAGGATACAAAGCCTTGTGCCTTCCATATAATTTACACTACAACTTCCACAACTCCACTATGCTTCAAGGCAGCATATCCCACTGCTTGATGGCTTACCATCAGAAAGCCCTAATCAGTTGTTCTCAACCTGTAGGTCCCTAGGTGTTTTGGCCTACAACTCCCAGAAATCCCAGCCAGTTTACCAGCTGTTAAGATTTCTGGGAGTTGAAGGCCAAAACATTTGGGGATCCACAGATTTGAGAACCGCTGGTTTAGATGGAAAAGCGATGCATTATACCCATACCCCTGATGGTCAGCTCAACTGCAAACTCCTCTAACCACACAATTATAGCGTTTTTATTCCTCTTTGACTGCCATCCGTCCTATGGAACCCTGGTTTTGGTAGTTTAGGAAGTGATACTCAGAGAAACAAGTCCTAGAGTTCCACAGGATAGAGGAGCCATGGCAGCTAAACTGTAATATGAAAATTATAATTGCATAGTGCAGTGGTTCTCAACCTGGTGTTTTGGCCTACAACTCTCAGAAATCCTAGCCATTTACCAGCTGTTAGGATTTCTGGGAATTGAAGGCCAAAACCATCTGGGAATCCACAGATTGAGAACCACTGCCATAGTGTAAATAGCCTCAAAGTCTTTCTGTGGCAGTTGAGGTATTGGGAACATTAGGTCTTGCAGATATTACTGGATCCCAATTCCTACCAGGAGTAGGAATGGTGGGAGTAGCAGTACATCAACAAACACAGAGATACACTGCATTTGGAGAGAGATTGCTTGTTCAGTGGAGCTTCTGTTTCTTTTTCTTCTTCTTGGGTTTGTCAGCTCCTCCTTGGCTGCCAGTTTCAGGGAGCACTGTCGGGGAGCTCTGGCCCTCAGTTCCCACCTGCCGCCTTTCCATCACCGCCACAAAGAACCCATTGGTCAGCGTTTCTTTGGGCGATGCTCGGAGGCAGCACTTGGCCTCTGCGAAGACCCCTAGGCCCCGAGGGGTCCAAGAAGGGAGGGCTTCCACCAGCTGGAAATGTTCTCCATGCTGCTCCAGGACGTCGTGCACCACCTCCTCGTTCTCTTCCTGGTGCAAGGAGCAGGTGGAATACACCAAACGGCGCAGAGCTGGGAATTTCAAGGCGTGCTCAAGAATCCTGCGCTGGAATCCGGCCAGTGCCTGCAACCGTTGGGCGTCCATTTCCTCATCTTCGTACGGCAAGCGGCCCACTATGCCAGACCCGCTGCAGGACGGATCCAGGAGGATGTATTGTACTTGGCTGTATTTGGGGTCGCTGGGATTGGTTATCAAGAAGTCCCGGTGCATTTGAAAACATTTTACTTGTTCAGTGGAGCTTCTGTTTCTTTTTCTTCTTCTTCTTTTTGGGCTTGTCAGCTCCTCCTTGGCTGCCAGTTTCAGGGAGCATTGTTGGGGAGCTCTGGCCCTGAGTTCCCACCTGCCGCCTTTCCATCACCGCCACAAAGAACCCATTGGTCAGCGTTTCTTTGGGCGATGCTCGGAGGCAGCACTTGGCCTCTGCGAAGACCCCTAGGCCCCGAGGGGTCCAAGAAGGGAGGGCTTCCACCAGTCGGAAATGTTCTCCATGCTGTTCTAGGACGTCGCGCACCACCTCCTCGTTTTCCTCCTGGTGCAAGGAGCAGGTGGAATACACCAAACGGCGCAGAGCTGGGAATTTCAAGGCGTGCAGAAGCATCCTGCGCTGGAACCCGGCCAGCGCCTGCAACCGTTGGGCGTCTGTCTCCTCCTCCTCTTCGTACGGCAGCCGGCCCACTATGCCAGACCCGCTGCAGGATGGATCCAGGAGGATGTATTGTACTCGGCTGTATTTGGGGTCGCTGGGATCGGTTGTCAAGAAGTCCCGGTGTGCCAGCTCATGGCAGGTGGAACCAGCCCTGGCCAACATGGTGCTCATAGTGGACAGGCGCTTGGCATCGATGTCAAAGGCAAAGATGCGCCCTTTGTTGCGCATGATGGCGGCCAAGTGGCTGGTCTTGTTGCCGGGAGCGGCGCAGGCGTCAAGGACGTGAGACCCGGGTGGTGGGTCGAGGAGGAAAGCCGGGAGGCAGCTGGCCTTGTCCTGGAGGATAATGTGCCCTGCTTTGTAGAGCTGATCCTGGTGGAAATCCGTCCCTGAGGGGAAGACAAGCAATCCAGGGAGGTGCGGGTCCAAAAGGAAGGATTTCCCAGTCAAGGAGGCGACCTCCTTCATCTCAGGGGTGGCCCTTCCTAGGTAAACAAAGCCTTGCCGCTTGAAGTAGTCCACGACGTCATCAGCGCGCGCCTTGAGCGTGTTGACTCGAACATAGCGCGGCGGGGTGCAGTCCCGGTCTCGGCCAGCAGGGGCCGCCAGGAGGTCTTGGTCTTGGCTGACTCCCCGGCGCACCTTGAGGCGGGCCAGCTCGGCCTGCAGGCGAGCCCGGTGCTTCAGCAGCGCCGCCTTCCAAGGCCCGCCTCCCCGCAGGCCTCTCCCGAAGAGCAGCTCGTAGGCCAGGACCTTCGCCACCTGAGGAGGGAGCTTCTTCTCCGCGCGGAGTAGGCCCGACGCCTCGAACAAGGCCTCCAGCACGGGGCCGAAGCGGAGCGTCCCCGAGACCAGCGCCAGGAGCAGGCGGGGCCCTGGGAAGCCGCTCCCGTAGACCAGGCCCTTCAGGGAGCCCGAGCGCTGCTCCAGCCCCGACAGCACCGAAGCGGCAGCCGCGTAGAGCCCGGGACCCGAGGCCCTGCCCACGCCGGAGCGCCCTCGCTTCGCCCTCATGGCCCCACAGACAGCGGGCTCCTCGCGAAGTCTCAGGGCGCATGCGCAACTTAGGGAGGCAGGGAGAAGACTGCGCCTGCGCACAAGGCCTGAAGCTCATCAATGATTAGGTTCTTGTGGGTTTTTTCGGGCTATATGGCCATGTTCTAGAGGCATTCTCTCCTGACGTTTCGCCTGCATCTATGGCAAGCATCTTCAGAGGTAGTGAGGTCTGTTGGAAATAGGACAATGGGTTTATATATCTGTGGAATGGCTGGGGTGTGGCAAAGAGCTCTTCTCCGCTGGAGCTGGGTGTGAATGTTTCAACTGATCACCTTCATTAGCATTTGAAGGCCTGGCTGAGCCTGGGAAAATACCCTGTTGAGAGGTGTTAAGATGTGACTGGTTGTTTCCTCTCTGTTTTGCTGTTGTAATTTTAGATTTTTTTAATACTGGTAGCCAGATTTTGTTCATTTTCATGGTTTCTTCCTTTCTGTTGAAATTGTCCACATGTTTGTGTATTTCACTGGCTTCTCTGTGTAGTTTGACATGGGTGGTTGTTGGTGTGGTCCAGCATTTCTGTGTACTCAAATAATATGTTGTGTCCAGGCTGGTTCATCAGGTGCTCTGCTATGGCTGACTTCTCTGGTTGAAGGAGTCTGCAGTACCTTTCATGTTCCTGGATTCTTGTCTGATGAACCAACCTGGACACAGCATTTTATTTGAGAACACAAAAATGCTGGACCACTCTCACAACCACCATGTCAGGCTACACAGAGAAGCCATTGAAATCCACAAACATGTGGACAATTTCAACAGAAAGGAAGAAACCATGAAAATGAACAAAATCTGGCTACCAGTATTAAAAAATTCTAAAATTGCAACAGCAAAAACAGCAGAGAGAAAAACAGGCAGGGACATCTAATCACCTTTCAAGAAGAGTTTGCTCCAGGCACAGTCAGCCCATTGTATGCTAATCAAGGTGGTCAGTTGAAAAGATTCACACCTAGCCCACTTACAAAAGCCCTTTGTCTCACCCTGGTCATTCCACAGATATATAAACCCTTTTCCCAGTTCCAGCAGACCTCACCTCTGAGGATGCTTGCCATAGATGCAGGCGAAACGTCAGGAGAAATGCCTCTAGAACATTGCCATATAGCCCGAAAAAACCCACAAGAACTGAATAATAATCTTTATTTCTACCCCGCCACCATCTCCCCAATGGGGACTCGGAGCAGCTTACATGGGGCCAAGCCCGGACAACATGTTACAGCAAAATAAAACCAGAACATAAAAAACAAGCAGCAGCATCAGAATCACATAGAATCATAGAATAGAATCATAGAATCAAAGAGTTGGAAGAGACCTCCTGGGCCATCCAGTCCAACCCCCTGCCAAGAAGCAGGAATATTGCATTCAAATCACCCCTGACAGATGGCCATCCAGCCTCTGTTTAAAAGTTTCCAAAGAAGGAGCCTCCACCACACTCCGGGGCAGAGAGTTCCACTGCTGAACGGCTCTCACAGTCAGGAAGTTCTTCCTCATGTTCAGATGGAATCTCCTCTCTTGTAGTTTGAAGCCATTGTTCCAGTGCGTCCTAGTCTCCATGGAAGCAGAAAACAAGCTTGCTCCCTCCTCCCTGTGGCTTCCTCTCACATATTTATACATGGCTATCAGAGTATATGTTGTTGTTCATTCGTTCAGTCGTCTCCAAATCTTCGTGACCTCATGGACCAGCCCACGTCAGAGCTCCCTGTCGGCCATCACCACCCCCAGCTCCTTCAAGGTCAGTCCAGTCACTTCAAGGATGCCATCCATCCATCTTGCCCTTGGTCGGCCCCTCTTCCTTTTGCCTTCCACTTTCCCCAGCACAATTGTCTTCTCTAGGCTTTGCTGTCTCCTCATGATGTGGCCAAAGTACTTCAACTTTGTCTCTAGTATCCTTCCCTCCAATGAGCAGCCAGGCTTTATTTCTTGGAGGATGGACTGGGTGGATCTTCTCACAGTCCAAGGCACTCTCAGAACTTTCCTCCAACACCACAGCTCAAAAGCATCTCTCTTCCTTCGCTCAGCCTTCCCTAAGGTCCAGCTCTCACACAGCTCTCTTACTACTTAAGAACAAAAGAACCAATGAACGAAATCACACCAAATTTGGCAACAAAACGTCTCACAACACAAGGAGTGACCATCACTCAAAAAAATATGATTTTGTTATTTGGGAGTTGTAGTTTCTGGGATTTATAGTTCACCTACAATCAAAGAGCATTCTAAATTCCATCAACGATGGAATTGAACCAAACTTGGCGCACAGAACTCCCATGACCAACAGAAAATCCTGGAAAGGTTTGGTGGGCAGTGTCCTTTGGTTTTGGAGTTGTAGGTCACCTACATCCAGAGATCACTGTGCACTCAAATAATGATGAATCTGGACCAAACTCTACACGAATACTCCATATGCCAAAATGTGAACACTGGTGGACTTTGGGGGAAATAGAATCTTTACTTTTGCTAGTTGTAGTTGATGGGATTTATAGTTCACCTACAATCACAGAGCATTCTGAACCCCACCAATGATACAATTGGGCCAAACCTCCCACATAGAACCCAAATGTGGGCCACAGCAACGTGTGGCAGGGGGTGGCTAGTAATAATAATAATAATAATAATAATAATAATAATAAACTTTATTTATACCTCGCCACCATCTCCCCCAATGGGGACTCGGGGCGGCTTACATGAGGCCAAGTCCAAACAACAAATTATAATAAAATAAGATACAAATTACAATAAAATAAACAACATAGCATCAAAGTATAAAATATATAAGCAATATACACAAAACATAAAAAAGCAGTAAACCAAACATAATGACAAGGAGTGGGCCGCATGTACAAAAAATGATTTAAAAACTCAGGGTGAGATACAGGAGCAGAATTATTTGTAAGGGAGAACTCAGAGAGACAGGAAAATAAAGAGACCTTCGTACAAAGGCGGGGGGGGGGGGGGTTCCTAGGACAAGAACAAGATTGTCTGGTTTGCCCACCCTGGAATGTGCAACATATCATTGTCCTTCTTTAGGGGTCCCTTTCAAATCTATGATACTATATCTGTGTGTGTGTGTGAATCATATATATCTATAACTCTGGCTGGATGGCTCTTTGTCAGGAGGGCTTTGATTACGTTTTCTTGCCCTGGTGAAGGGAGTTGGACTGGATGGCCTTAAGTATTTTCTGTTGGTCATGGGGGTTCTGTGTGGGAAGTTTGCCCCAATTATGTCATTGGTGGGATTCAGAATGCTCTTTGATTGTAAGTGAACTATAAATCCAAGTAGTTACAACTCCCAAATGTCAAGGTCTATTTCCCCAAAACTCCATTTGTGTTCATATGGAGTATTAGTACCAAGTTTGGTCCAGATCCATCATTGTTTGAGTCCACAGTGCTCTCTGGATGGACCAAACACTTCCAGTATTTTCTGTTGATCATGGGAGTTCTGTGTGCCAAGTCTGTTTAATTTCCATCATTGATGGAGTTCAGAATGCCCTTTGATTGTAGGTGAACTATAAATCCCAGCAACTACAACTCCCAAATGACAAAATCAATTCCCCCTCCAACCCCACCAGTATTCCAATTTGTGTATATTGGGTATTTGTGCCAAATTTGGTCCAGTGAATGAAAATACACCCTGCATATCAGATATTTACAATATGATTCATAACAGTCGCAAAATTACAGTTATGAATTAGCAATGAAAATAATTTTACGGTTAGGGGTCACCACAACATGAGAAACTGTATTAAGGGGTAGTGGTGGGGTTAGGGATTGATTTAGTCAGGTGTCCCGATCCTCAGGTTGAGAAACACTGCTATAATATCCTTCCCTCCAGTAAGTACCATCTATAGGTTACTATAGGGAATCCCATTGCTTTTACTATGCGGATCTTCGTTGCCAGTGTGATGTCTCTACTCTTAACTATTTTATTGAGATTGGACATTGCTCTCCTCCGATATAGTAAATGTCTTCTGTGTCCCTGGCTGCACTCTGCATCTGCAGTCATCTTTGTGCCTAAAAATACAAAGTCTGCCGCAACCTCCATGTTTCCTCCCCTAAAAAGGCCACATTCCCTAAAGAGTGGCTCCCAAACTTTGGTGTTCTGACCGCCTGGAAATGAATAAAATGGCTTAGAATGCCAGTAGTTGCATGCACTGAATTCACCAGTATGTGATATATTAATGCAGTACATTTCTTATTCGTGCAAATGAGCTCCCTATGGAGTTTCACCACCCAGTGTTTTGGGTTCTGGTGCATGAAAAAAAGGTGCCATGCAATGCAATATGCACTCTGGCCAGTAGGGGGTAGCAGTAGACTCCTTTGGATTCTTCTTTCCCACCCAATAGAAATGGAACAGCACAGTTCAACCCAGAAGGATAAAATCTGAATCTACACTGCCATATAATGCAGTTTCAGAAGTTGGATTAACTACATTGAACAGGATGCCATATAATATGTCATCAGCTGGGGACCCCTCCACTTAGCACCAACCACTGCTCTGGGCCAACGTGAAGAGAGGGGGCCAGGGGACAGTTCCACCTTGTCTCCTGTGCTATGCTAATAATATAATATAATATATTGTATATACATATAATATTTAAATTTTTATAATGTAATACAATATAATACCATTAAAAATAATATGATATAATTATATATTTTATATTACATGTAACATTACTAATAATATTAGTATAGTACAATATAGTAATATATAATACTGATATTGTATTATGTTAATAATATAATGTTTTGTGTGTGTGTGTATATATATATATATATATATATATATATATATAACTTGATCTTGTAAGCTGCTCTGAGTCCCCTTTGGGATGAGAAGAGCTGCATAAAACTGTTGTAAATAAATAATACAGTTCAATGCAGTTAATCTACCTTCTGAAACTACAGTATATGGCAGTGTACATCCAGTCTTTTAGTATTTGTGAGAGGCAGGTAATAGTGATTCAAGACAAGATTTTCTTAGAAATTAC